CACAAACATACGTAGAGGTATTTTATCATTAAAAGATAATTCTTTTTCTTTTGTGGATTTGTGAAATTCGTTTTCAAAAGTAATCATTCTAATTAAAAAAAGATTGCATAATATAGTTTCTCCTTGGTCTTTTAAGATCATGGATAGTATCTGTTCTTTTTAGTACTGTTCAGGCGTTTGAATATTAAAAATTAAGCTGGAAACTATTAGCTGAAAGACCAGAAAATCTTGGATTTTGAGAAGAACTGAATAAAAGCCAACTTATTTCTGTGCTGTTTTACAAATTGTTGGATTTGGTGTTTACTTCACTAACAGGACCATCTCATGAGAAGCATTCTGCAAGAATGCAGGCAGTCCTTAATGACTGCCTTAATGTTTAATGGCTATTTGGAGTTATGACTGTCTCCAAAATTTTTTACAACCCATCCTCAAAATTAAGACTCCTACAACACCCCCACCCCCACCGCAATCATGTAAATTGCATTTTGTGATGTTGCAACTGCCATGCATTTATGACTGGTTGCAGTGTCCCATGGTTACATGAGCCTAATTTGTGATCCTTTTTTGCCGTTTTCTAAAAGAAAATGGCAAATAAACCACTCATTGGATGTACTGGATTTGCTTAATGACCATATGAATTGCTTAACAAGTGCTGTGACTCATGTAATAATTATTGTAAAAATAGTAATAAAATCAAATTAAGTCACATGTTGATCCACTTAATGACTGCAATGACGTACAGCCAATATTCCAGGCTCAATTTTGGTCATAAGTCAAGGGCTACATGTATTCTCATATCATAATACTACAAGAATTATTTCGATTCATTTTTCCCTTCCCTTGCAGATCCTGGAAATATTTTTCCATTGTTAGTTAGATGTTCCTCTAATTATCAAAGCCTATACCAGTGTATTCGCCTCCTATCTAATTGTTGCAAATGGGGGGGAACCATAAGTAGGGTATAGAATTGATTAATATTGTCATCTTTTTGATTTGTTGAAAGCATGTGTTGAATTGAATACTACAATTTTTATGACTTTAAAATGGGATGCATAGCATGTTCAATGCCACTGAAATCAGTAATACTTAAGTTGATCAGGCTTGAAGTCCCATTGATTTCAATGGGTCTACTAAGCATGGATTCCATATATTTTCAGTACCACAATATACAATTTTTTCATTACGTTCACCAAGAAGTGGTTTACCTAAGTACTTTGTATGGAATGTTTCTCTGTATGTAAAGAGCTACTTGGAGTTTCTCTAGAGAAAGAAGTATATACAATTTATTTGAATTTTGTCGCAATAAAATATTAATAACTTCAGCAAAAATAGCAAGTATTCAGGATTGTTATATACATTGTACAGTTGCACAACCTTTTCTAGTCCAAAGATGGCACTTATTCTTTCACCCACTCATCACATTCAAATAGTGATGAGTGGGACCAGGATAAAATTAAATATAATTTTAAAAAATTCCTTCAAATGATTGGAAGCCTCTAATATCGGGACTTTTTTCCCATTGCCAGGAATGGGGTGGGCGCGGTTTCACCGTGACGCATCCAGCCTGCGGGCCGGCAGTTTGACATGCTTGCTCTAGGGGACTTCATGTAATCCCCGGGTGCACATTCTGCACTCTGACCTAGTGATATCATACAGGATATCATTCTTTGAATCTTTTCCTTCAAATAGTTCAACATGGAATCTGATCTATTTACAACAATGACAGTTGCTATTTTTCCTGCTTATAGAACTGTTGAATCAAAAGCTGACATTTTTTATGAAACAGGTAACCTATGTTAGGAATACATCATCTGAGCAGGAAGAAGTGGTAGAAGCCCTGAGAGAAGAGATAAGAATGATGAGTCATTTGAATCACCCTAATATCATTCGAATGATGGGTGCTACATGTGAGAAAAGCAACTACAATCTCTTTATAGAATGGATGGCAGGTATGTATGCCAAAATGTATCTCTTAATAAATGCCTCCCACTCACAACTCTGTGGCACTAGAGTTAAGTTTAGGGTTTTCTCATTGAATTCTGAGTCTGTGCCAGCCCAACCAGGTAGACTAGAGCAAGAATCAACTCTACAGGAAGGATAAAACTACTTTTATTGGGCGTGGCTACAATAATAGAATCTTGCAAATCTGATTGTGCTGTATCTCCTGTTCTTATAAACATGTGGTGTATGTGTGTTTGTCTGAGCCTCTTCCACATACTTTCTGGTTGCTATGGATTTAATATCTTAAAGTTTTAAATAATTTTGGATTGGGATTTCCTCAAAAAGTCATCTCTTCCCATATGTGGGAGGACAGCATTGTCTTGGACAACAATTTCTTGGAAGAAAATTTTGAGTCCCTCTTCATCATTTTTTATTTATATTTCACATTTTTAGGTTTCTCAATTCCAATGACTCTGGAAAGTTGAACATACCAGTAAAAATAAAAAATAAAACCTCAAAAGTAGTGACAGACAGTAACGTTATTTTGGTCATTGACCAATAAAAACATATTCAATGAAACAAACAAGCAAAATTAACCTCTTACATCAAAATTTACTGAAGCCATTTGTGGATGAAGCTTACACAGATGTATCAGAATGCTTCTACTTTTAGAGAAATAGATGTGTCCTAGTTGTCTATAACAAATAATGCAAGTAAAAAATATTGGAGTGCCCTGGAAATTTAATTAAAAAGGAGGTAATCATATGGTGGTAAATGTCCTTGTAGAACTGTCAATGGGCTGTGATTTCTTTGGCACCCATGTCATAATGCCAGTATCATGTTTCATAGGGATTTTTTCTATATTTCCCTTCCAAAATAGCTCTGGGGAGAACATTAAATCCGGGTAAAGATATGGCTGTTCTGAATTTGGGGACTTTGATATAAAAATGAAGTCAATTTAGGTGCTAAAAATTAGTTATTTACAATTATATTATGAGAAAAAGCAGCATCTAAGATCCTTTACCTTAATACTGACCTAGCTTGATCTGGTTCTAAAGTTAGGATGGAACCACTGGAAAAATCTTTCTGGCTCACTTTCTTTTGAGTAGGTATTTCCCAAGAAGTTTTGAAGTTGTCTACCAATATTAATATGGCTCAGTCCACTCAGATTGTAGTGTAGTTTTAGCTTGTAAGTAAATACATTTATCCACAGATTGGATTAAAATTACTGCCTCCCTTTGAAATTCTGCATTTGAAACACAGTGGGTCACTTCAAAGATGCTTATTAGAAACTTCGTTTGAATTCTTTCTAATTATATGGTCCCAACTACTGAATAGTAGTTGTGATCAGGCTTTAGCAACAAACTGTTTAATTCTAGGAGGGATAAACTCCTCCTCTGGTAAAATATTAAGCCTGAATAGCTGATGCAGATCTCTGTTCATTATGGGATGCATAATCCAGGTGGGATGTAGTATCATTTGGAGAGAACAACAATTACTTTCTGCAATTGTTTGCCTCCCCCCCCCCTCAGGCCTTTAGTTATAATGCTTGTAATTCAGCATTTCTCGGTCTCAGTAAAATGATTTTTGGGGTTTAGGGACTGGCAAGCAGAGGAGAGGGAAGTAATTGTTACTGTAGACTTTTGGTGATCCATCATTAAATAATTAACGTATATGAACAGCAATGTGATGAATATTGAGTGTTGCAATGTGGAACAGTAAACATACAAGATGCATATATTTATTGAAGAAGAAGGCAATTTGCAAGAAAAATAGGCATCTTTAAAACTTCCAGGCTGACAAATGGCAAAACAGTGCAGGTTAGGGCTATACAGAGACTATCCCACAAACACTGAGCACTAATATTAAAGCAAGCACATCTTCAGGATATTTTGATGTAGCAATTTCAAAGGCTTTGTCACATTGTCTTTGTGTGTATATACATGTATAGATGCTTTTCGTTATTATCAGTACTGGGGAAACTTGTCTATGAATAGATCCTCAAACAGGGACAGTTGGGTAGAACTTTCGTAACAGTTGTGCCGAGAGTGTTGAAGATTCTGCATCTATAATATTTCAAGGAAGGGTGTTTTGTAAAGATTAAAAGTTTATTGCCCCATTCTTAATAAGAAAATTGTTAATAAAATATAAAGTATGTATGCATTCTAACATTTCTTTTTCTCTGCATATTAAAACAATCACATATAAAATATAAGGAGCCAAAGAGAATTCATTAAAATTGCTAGAATTCCTTTCCTGCCCTTAGATCAAATTTTGCAACTGTTTCAAATTGCTGTTTTCAAATAGTCAACCTAAATGGATAAAATATACTCCTATTTTTCAGGAGGATCTGTTGCTCATTTGTTGGGTAAATATGGAGCCTTTAAAGAGTCTGTAGTTGCAAACTACACAGAACAATTGCTTCGTGGCCTGGCTTACCTTCATGAAAATCAGATCATTCACAGAGATGTCAAAGGTAAGATCAATGTTACTATAGCTGGACATTTATACAATGGCCAATCAGTGAGCCATCTAATGGGAATAATTATTTTTAGTTCATTCATCACTGTCTAATTTCATTTTTTAAAATGTTGGTAAATGTTAACTTCCTACAATGTGTTTAGCTGTGTTGATATCATTGCTTGTGTAATGGTCACTGCTTGTTTCTCTTCATCTTGGATTATGTTAAAAGCACTGAGTTTTGGAATATTTACATGATATTGAAGATATCCCAGTAGTTCTCAGGAGGAATTATGATTATCTTCAAAATTATTCTGTGATGTAGTACTGAAAGCACAAGATAAGTAGGATTGTATGCTGCCAGGCACAGTGCTAACTTCTCTTAGGCTTCTTCAAGCCTAGTTGTTATATATTATTGTATGCATAATCATCTATAAGATAAATATTTATATATAAAATACAAAGACAGAGCACTGATTTGCCATTCACAAACAGAGAATTTGCTTAGAAATGGAAAAAAAAGATTCACATATTTTTTAATATTTCAAGAGCTATTGGATACCTACATTTTTTAGTTTTAATGTTCTGTTTGTGTTCTGGAAACCATAAACCACTGATACAATATATATATTGTATTTAGTTGTTGCTTTCTTGTTATTTATTTTAACTTAAAAATCATAATAAAATTTGGGAACATCTTAGACATATGCAACAGCAATAAAAAAAGCCTCAAGTCTATAGCTATTCAAGTATCCAGATTCTTATTCTGTCCTTTGATTCTAATTTATTGTATAGTCCATTATTATTATGCTACCTTTTATAGATATAATTCAATGTAGACTGCAGCATATATTTAAATTTACCCCAGGGTTTACTTTATTGAATAAAGAAAACTAGTTCATTTTTTTCATTTTCTACCACAAGTGTATTTGCATTTCTTTCATTACTTAATTGGATTTCTAATAATGCCAACAGGTGCCAACTTGTTAATTGATAGCACAGGTCATAGGCTAAGAATTGCTGATTTTGGAGCTGCAGCTAGATTGGCATCAAAAGGAACTGGTGCTGGAGAATTTCAAGGACAGTTATTGGGGACTATTGCATTTATGGCACCAGAGGTAAGATTTCATCTTGGGAAAAGGGATATTAATACCTTTTAACTTAACCTTTAACTGCTGTACTACTGTAGCATTTAAAATGGCATCCTATGCAATACTGTTGAAAAATGCTTAAACCTTTACTCTGTTTTAGTTTAAAAGTTTCTTTAATTCCATAAGACACTAATTAGGGAGGACACATGAATATGAGAAGAGCCCTACTTGATCAAGCCAAAAGTTTGTCAAATCCAATTCCATGATTCTCGTAGAGGCCAAACAGCCACCTATTTCAAAGAAACTCACAAGAACAGATTGAAATAGTTCCCATTTTTGCCCTCTCAATATTCAGAGCTTGATTGACTTTGAATAATTTAACGTCCATTCATTACCTAAGGCAGAGGTGGAGAATATAGCTGGCTCAGGAACTCAGGAATTGAAGTCCACAATCATAAAAGGGCCATAGTTCCCACCCTTGATCTAAGCATCGGGACATCATCTAAAGACATATGCATAATTTGTAGGGCAATAACAGCCATAATCATATCCTTACTTAGCCATAATCATACCCTTCCTCAGTTTTTTTCTTAACTTGAAATAGTTAATGAGCTTGTCACCATAGTAATAGGAAATGGTGATCCAAATCACGAGATTACATCTACATTTTCAGTCATTTATCTGATACCTTCTATTTAGATACAAGGTTCTTTCATTGTTAGTTTGAAAAGCATCTTCCCCATTTACAATATTAGTGGACCAGCCTGATTTGTGATGATATGTGAACTATCCTTTAAGAACAAGTTACAAGTCAGCAGTGCTGTCATGTTTTAAGAAACTTTGTTCTGGAAATAGATAGCAAAATACCTTGACTTGTCTGTCCTAATAGCACTGGCATTTTGCTTCTTTGCTGTCAAGCAGAGTTCATGTTAGACAGCTGCTCTTAACAAAGAATGGCTAAAAATACATAAATGATTAATGCACTTTGGGAACCACATGTCTTCCGTTTCCATGTTCTCTTCAAAGAAAGTTAATGGGGCCACTGGTCTTACAGGAACAAGTATTTAATTTTTATGGGGTTTCTAAAGTATAGCAAAAGATGAAGACAAACTATAAAGTTGACATTTATACTCTGATCTAGAATTTGCAAGTGTTAATTGTAAAAGTAATATTTTCAGGAACAGTGTTTTATGGATACTGAAATAAAGCAATCTCTCATGACATCTTATGATGGCATCCTACTGCTATTTTAGGTTAATCTCATGATAAAGTATTTTACACTGTTGTTGTTTTAAAAAAGGTGCCCTGTTGATGAATCAAAGTTAATCTCATTTGTTTTTTTTCCTCTTAGGTGTTGAGAGGCCAACAGTATGGCAGAAGCTGTGATGTGTGGAGTGTTGGCTGTGCTATTATAGAAATGGCTTGCGCTAAGCCCCCCTGGAACGCAGAGAAACATTCCAATCATCTTGCTTTGATATTTAAGGTAAAATGATCCATAAGAGAAAATGTGTAAAGCCTATAGTTGAGGAAATGCACTGAGAGCTTCTTCCATTCAAAGGCCACTAACATGCCCAAGAGTGCAGTGTAAATTTGTCATTAGAACTTGAGAGGAAAGGAATTTGCAGTAGATAGCTGGATTAGGCTAAATGATAATCATGCACATAAACTAAAAGATGTGAACAACATATATCTCTTATATTTTGAAAGCATTCTCTCAATTTGAGAAATATTTTCTGTATTAGTCACATTATATGCAATATATCCCAATTTATTATTTCATTTTCAAAGGGATATAAATAAATTCCAATGGTTTAAAAAATAGCAGTAAAAATAAAAATAAAAAACAGAGCAAATTTGTTTTCCTTCTTTCTTGCCTATTGTCTCTCAGGGATTAATTACTGAGCAGTTAAAATATCTGTTGCAAAATATGCATATATATCCTTCACCCTGGACACATATATTTATAGTGTCAATATATAGTCAATTCTCATTCTTAGTAGTTCTGTTCTATAAATTGCCGCAGACACTGAAGTTGTGAATACTGAAACCTCAGCTGGGAATGTGTGTGCAGAGTGACTCAATGTTTTTCTGTTTTGCATGTCCACAAACGATTGCAAAAGACCATAACTATTGATTTTGTGGTTACAAATAAATTTTAGCAAGTAGGCGAATTCAGAAATATGGAATCTGCAAATAAAAGGAATCAGCTGTAATAAACTTAATGTTTACATTGTCAGCAGTGCAAATACTAAGATGCTTTGCAGTATACAATCTGTTGCTTTGGGCTTTTTTGTGTAATTATTATTTTCTGTTTTAATTATAGATTGCTAGTGCAACTACAGCTCCAACAATCCCATTGCATCTGTCTCCAGGCTTAAGGGATGTGGCACTTCGATGTTTGGAGCTACAACCTCAGGACAGACCCCCAACAAGGGAGTTGTTAAAACACCCTGTCTTTCGCACTATGTGGTAGTTGTAGAAAACTGGGGGTACATTGAACTCGATGCTACTGAAAATATAAAGTGCTGGTCTTCCTGTGCAGGTTTGCATAGCAATGTGTATTAATTGCTCTGCTGGCCTTAATTATATGTTTTGAGGACTTGAGGTCAGTAGAGGACCTATACGTATGTGACTGACAAATCGAGATCTTGACATAAGTTTAATATGTAACATTTCACAAATTGTGCAGAAATATGTAAACTGTGCCTTTCTCAAAGATATGTCTGTTCACGAACAGAGAAGCAATTCCTCTTTTAGATCTGCATGATTATTTAGTGGAAAATGTGATTTTTTAAAAACTTTATTTTAAAGCATTTTTTCAGTGATATAAGCAGTTGGGTGGTTAAAGAGCCATTTAAAAATGCATCACTATTTTTTTCAGGACATGCAAATTTCAACAATCCATTTTAAAGAAAGTTCGTGTCTGCATTATGGTGAAGCTTATTCTTTACGTGGAAAAAGAAAATTTGGGTAGTTTTAAAAATCACTTTTGCCTACTTTAGAATCACAAAGTATGGCAGTTGTGGTTGACTTACTATTAGTCTTGTAACTGTCCTTTGGAAGTTACCACTCTGTAGTTTTATTTTATCTTTTCTTCACATTCAGGGAAAAATGTTTTTAAAAGAAACCCAAATAACTAGAATTAAGTTCAAGCTAAATATTGCTGGACAACTTACTGTAAAAGACTATGGTTAAAATTGGTTTGAAATCTGCAATAAAATGCTGCCCTTGAGTCAGTGTTTTTAACAAGATGTGTTATTGAGGTAGGAGTGCACAAGTTTTTTGAATAACAGAACTTCATAGCCAAGGATCAAGTGAATGTTCTGTTTTGAAGCCCTTTTTAATATCACAGCTCATGGTAAAATTGTGGTAGAAAGGAGTACTGTGTCATACTGCCTTCTGATACTCAACTTCTATTCTAGTCAGCTGAAGCTTTAAATTCAGCCTTACTCTTAGCATTGCATTATGTTTGCTGTTTTTCCTGCTATTTTCCTTATGCCATTTGTCATCTTTTTACTGAGGCTGTGCTCTGATTTGGCATGAACCAATTCAGATAAGGAGAAAATACATCATGGGCACTTGAAACCCCAGAAGTAATTTCTGTGAATTGTGACTTTATCCCCACATTAACAGCCTTTCCTGAAAATAGCATCCTATTTTGATTTAAAACAAACAAAAAAACAAAAAACAGGAGAAGACACTGTTGCTTATTTAGGTGTTTTCCCTTAATAAATAACAAATGGAGAGGTTGGGAATGAGTCAGTGGGCATGACATTGCAGCAATACAGGAGACAACTTGTTTCACAACAAGCTGACTGTGTGGCCTTGATGCATGATCCTTGCACAGCCCCATCATTTACAATTTGGATTATGGCAGGCTAGAAATACGAAAAATAAAATAATAGTTGGTAATTAAGTTATTGGGAACTATTTTTTAAAATGGAAAATAGCCATTTAAAAACTTGTGTTTAAATTTTTACAGAATGAAATAGCCTTGAAGAAATATTTTGCACCAAGAATGCAGAGCATTTTTTTTTAAACAAATGTGTCATCAATTATTTCAATGGCAGTTTTTTAAATTCTGATGAATGGGATATTGAAGGAAAATGGCAGCTCTTTTACTTTCTGGCAATTTTTTTTTAAGTAAAGTTTTGATTGTGTTTAATCAACTTTTGTTAAAATAACTTTTCCAATTTTAACTCTTCAGAAGCCAGTTGAAATATTGATCAGAAATTGGTTATGATCAAAGGCTCAGGACAAACTTGCTTGATAAGCTATAATACTGTACAATTTAGGCAATGTACAATTTTTAAAAATTGGAAACAAAGGTAATGGAGGTTTACACAATGACCATGCTAAAGTTAATCAAGAGCAATGTCATTAAAGATGGATGTGTATTTCTTCTTGAAATGTTACATTCCTTTGCTTTTTTTTGTTATTGGGAGACTTTGAAGAGTTAAAAAAATCTAAATGTGAAGTTTTGTAGCTTTGTTTGTATTTGATTTGTTTTTTGACAATTTAGAATTTGTCATTATTCCAATCATATTGTTTTTAAGTCTCTCCTGTGCAAGCTTTAAAGGATGCACTCTTGCCAATTCATGTACTGGAAGATTGCTTGTCAGATAAATACCACTTTGTCAATTATATAAACTGACGAACCTCAGCTAATCAGTATTATCCTTGTAGATCATCATGTCTTTCACATATCAAACTTGGACTGCCTCTTCTTCGAGTTTGTTTGCATTTTCCTCTGCTTGCTGGTAATTGTGTTTTTAAATGCAGATGTGATGTAATCTTATTTTCTTTGGATCAAAGCTGGACTGAAAATTGTATTATGTAATTATTTTTGTGCTCTTAATGTTATTTGGTACCTAAGTTGTAAATAACGTCTACTGCTGTTTATTCCAGTTTCTACTACCTCAGGTATCCTATAGATTTTCTTCTACCAAAGTTCACTTTCACATTGAAATTATATTTGCTATGTGACTGATTCCTAAGAGTTCCAGGGCTTAAGGGCTAACTTCTTAGCACCTTACTGTGCAAGTAAATTTTAAAGATCTCTGGGTTAAGAAAATTTGGCTTCATTTTATTCTTTGTTATTTTAAATATATCAAGATATTTTAATTAAAAGTTTTTACCCCTTTGAACCAATTTTATAGTATAATTTGTACCTATTTTGGTGGTTTTGTCTTTATAGTAAATAAAAGATTTTGGACAAAACTTGTCCTTTTTGATGGCAAAATTTGACTTCATTACTTCCTGGAATTACTGTATTACATGTATTTTCCTTTAAGCAAACAAGATCTTGTCACCAATTATGTGGTCTGAAAACTGCCTGCAAGTAAGCATATCATTGTTTCTGTTTCTTGGTCTTAGAAACAGTTTGTATTTGGAATTAGGTAAAGCAAAAAATCTATAACTGCTGTATCTACATATTCCTGTAGGGTAAGGGTAACAGTTCTTAAAGCTTTCAGTGCCATGATTGCCCAAACCCATCAATGAATGTGACGCCCCATCCCCATGAATTAAAAACTACTGATTTCGTTGGGGTTGCAGCAATAGAAACTTACAACTTTATAAAATTATATTTTTAATGGGAACCTTGAACTTGCTTTAGTTTTTCATAATTCTTGGAATTTGGATTTTATTTTTTAAGACTGCCACACTTGTTTTTGTTCCATATTTATTTTGGGTTGAAATTTGGTCTTTATAGAACTGCAGAAAATTCAGGCTCATCCTGGCAGCTTGGGAGCAAATTCTAAGATCAATTCAGCTTTGAGTGTACATCTGATGGAACTGTGAGATCCCAGCTACGGCTGTAGCTTTTGGACAAATAAGCTGCCCTATAAGATTGAATTCAACCTTTCCTTCCCTCTCTACCTCCACAAATTCTAACCAGAGCAGATCTTGTTTAGTGTTTTCCATTTCAGTCATGTTAATATGGCCTTGAAGCCGAAAGCCTTAACCCCCTATGTCTATAGCAGAATCTCCAAGCATTGAGAAGAGGGGAAACATGCAACATTTGCTGTTTCTCATATAGATATCCCAAAGGTGCTTTTTCATGAGACAACTGGAGTTTCTTTTTTCTCTTTGAAGACGTTTCGCTTCTCATCCAAGAAGCTTCTTTAGCTCTGACTGGATGGTGGGGAATGAAAGAATCAAAGAGAAAAAAGAAAGTCCACTTGCCTCGTGAAAAAGTACCTTTGGGACAACCATGACCTGAGAATCTCCATAGACATTCTCACATAGATGGCAGCATATTAGTTAAAAGGTCTTGGCAGCAACATTCTGTCAGAAGGCACCCCGTGCCAGGTACTATTTTACACATTCCTGATCTCTATTGCAGGGCCAGCCTGTGGAATAGCATCCTTCAGAGACCTATATGGCTCCCATCCCAATGATATTCAGAAAGTCATTGAAAACCTGGCTATTATTCTCCAAGGGCTTGGAATAGAGTGATTATTGAGTCTTTATGCAAAATGTTCTTACGTATAGTTTGTCTTCTGGATGTATGATTTGTATCTGTTTTTATTGTTTGGTGGTTTGTAACTGTAAACTGACCAGAGCTGTTTAAGTGTTGTGTGGCCTTTAATTTGAAAACTGGTAGTCCTTGGCTTACAATCACATTTTGGAAAGAAATTTCAGTTGTAAATCAGTGCACTCAAGTCGAGTCAAATGTGACTGGACCGGCTTTACAATCATTTTTATGGTTCTTCTAAAATGAATCACTGTGGTTGTTAAGCAAACTCCATGGTCATTAAGCGAATCTGGCTTCCTAAATAAATGCTTTTTTCCACCAGAAACTAGTAATCAAGGACTACCTGTATATAAATAAAGCTCCTGAAGACAAAGGGGGGGGGAGAGAATGCTTACTCTGTTTGGCCACCTAGTGAGATGATAAGATTGCCATGACTATCAGCTCCAGCTGATTGGAGGGTGACCAAGGGGCCAGGAAAGCATAGCAGTGTTGAGGAGGAATGTCTCCTTGGCTCCTGGTTTCTTGAAGGAGTGTGCAAAAGGTAAAGCACTGCTGTTGTGATTCTTCAGCAAAAGGAGCTTCTTTGTGACTAGTCACCTTTCTCTCAACTTTGTCCAAAGGCTGCTTGAATCCTACTGATGACAGGCAACCTTTTCCTGAACACATGGTACATATCAAGTGAGATTGACACATCCTTTGGATACAACACAGTCCAAAGCATCAGGGAGGGGACGATTAAAGTCAACAAATGCAGAAAGCAGAATCTTGGCAACCAACAAATTGCTTTACTCGAAGATCTGGGAAGCCAAATAGGATGTGTCTATCACTCTTCATCATCCTTCCAGATATGTGACTTCTGGCTCCAAAGGCTTTTTTTACACCGAAGGAAAGCAGAGTGCAACTTGACAGTGTTCTGGCTTTTGTGAATAACTCAGATTTGTGACTCATACTATACGACATAATTTGCCAAGCATTTTCTTTATTTATTGAATTAGATTTCCACAAAACATACCCGTGCCCGCAATCATTACCATGCTAACTAATAGAAAAGCTGGAAGGCAGCAGCATAGGAGATCAATTTAATAAGCATTGACCGGTTATGTGCCTTCAAGTCATGGTCAATTCTTAACAACTACATAGATTTCTCTTCAATATCTGACCCTAACGTGGTCTTTCTAGTTTCTCAATGCCTGTACCGACCACCACTGATTCATTCATCCACCTTGCCATCTATTCTCTTCCCCTTTTCCCTGTTTCTTCGCTTGCTTTTCTGCTAAAATATGGGGGAAACTATCCCTTTATTATTTATTTATGAGTGTATTCATTCAATTTTTACCTTCAATTGACAGATGCAAAGGGTTACCATCTCAACAAAATATACATGTTAAAAATGCTGTAACAAAAAAAATCAAAGCGAACAAAACAAAAAATAGAAGGCAACACTTAATAGAAGGCAACACCTCTGAAACACTTAATTTTTTAAAAAAGTTTCATGAAGACTAATGGACTAATGTTTTAAATAAATAATAAAAGTTAATTGGTTGATTAAATGATTACAGTAAAAAGCTGATCGAATTTCAAGGGGCAGGAAGTTTCATATCGTAGTACCTGCTTCACCACAAAAAGAAAAAAATTGTGGGTCTTCATTCTCTTACTCGACCCAAAGGGGAACTACAAAAAGCTTCTCCTTATTCATCTAACATTCGAAAAATCACGATTTTAACTCATCAATTTTCGTGCGAGCCGCGGCTGGCTGTTGCTACAAGCGCTCTTAATCGCTACGAACACCTCTCGAAAACTCTACTGCTCACAGGAGGCCTTACCGCACAAGCCTTTAACGCAGGGGTCCTCAACCTTGGCAACTTTAAGACTTGCGGACTTCAACTCCCAGAATCCCTCAGCCAGCAAAGCTGGCTGAGGGATTCTGGGAGTTGAAGTCCGCAAGTCTTAAAGTTGCCAAGGTTGAGAACCCCTGCTTTAACGCGAAACCAAGTATTCCGCTCCTACCGTAAGTAAGCCTGGAAACAATGTACAATTGTTGCCCACCATTCTGATCTGCCCCAGATTTTTCTCAGAGAGGCACAAAAATCAGAGTGCAAACTTGCTACCGAGATGTCCAGCATCCCCTCCTTCAAACATGTCCCGGGAAACTTTGCCCGCTTCGAGTTTGGTTCCGGAAGATTCTTATACCGCGAATTGGGGAGGCACAGGTCTGGAGGGTTTTCGACGAGGGGCAAGTTGGGATTAAGCGCCTTTATTTGAGGTTATGTCCCCCATCGAGGTGAAACATATTGGCAAAAGGCAGATTAGCTTCTCCTAAGAAACAGAGAGCCACCTTCGAGATTTGCGGGAGCAAGTTCACATAAACACACACACACACGCGCGCACACACACACCCTGGTTTTATTCGCCCTCCATAGTGCGCCTTCTGCTTTCGGGCGGCGGGGCGGTTTGCCCGCACTGCCCCGCCATGCTAGGAGGGTTACGGAGGCGCTGGGAGGCCTACAAGTACCGCTTCGTGCCCTGGATCGCGCTCAATCTCCGCCACAAGCGCAGGTGAGGACGAGGGCGAAGGTCCGCGGCCGCCTTCCCCTCCCGGGCCGCGGAAGGAAGGGTCTCTCTTGGGGGAGAGCGATACAGAGAGACCGGGAATGTCCTTTGCGGGTTGGTCGCGGGCGCTGTTGGAAGGCTGCGGGATGCCGAAGGATTGCATTGCTGCCATCTCGCCGGAATTTTGCAGCCGGACCGAAGCTTGCTAAATCACTTTCTCTTTTTTCCTTTCTCCCTATCACTAAACCCCTTCCTTCTTTCCTTCCTTCCTTCCCCGTACCAATATTTCCACTTTTGTTTTTTGTTTAACAACCTGCACTCATCTCTCCATATTCAGGGGTTCTCAACCTTGGCAACTTTAAGACTTGTGGACTTCAACTCCCAGAATTCTGGGAGTTGAAGTCCACAAGTCTTAAAGTTGCCAAGGTTGAGAACCCCTGCCATATATGATGGATTAAAAAACAGCACACATTCTCTTCATAAGTACAATGAACTAACTCTTTTACTTAGAAGAATAATTAAAACTCAGAAGGAAGTATTTCTGAATGTGCCATATGAGGACAATTCTATACTGACAGTGACCCGCATTTGATTTAATTGGGCTTTCTCACCAACCTGTATCTCTGATTTCTGAATTAACAAACAGGTGTCTGTAATAAGAAGTTTGAACTGATTCTAGGTTTCCTTGCAAATTACTAAATATAGCAAGATGAAAATGTTTGGTTTAATATACTGAGTGAAATTGTAGGGAATTACAGTCGTATATTTTCATACACAAATAATTTTTATTGTCTACTAGGATATTAATACTTGCAAATGAGATTTATGAAAAAAACCCACAAATTTCTGTTAGATGCTGCTCACAATTATCAGTTTTAAGTTGGGGGGGTTGCCCTACAACAGTGATGGCGAAACTTTTAGAGACCCAGTGCCCAAACTGCAACCCAAAACCTACTTATTTATCACTGGGTGCCGGGTGGGCGTGGCAGCAGTGGTCATGGCAGACTGGGTGGGCAGGGCCAGGGTGGCAGGGGCCAGTCCCTCGCCATCTCCGGGGCATGGCACACGTGCCCACAGAGAGGGCTTTAAGTGCCACTTCTGGTACGCGTGCCATAGGTTCATCACCACTGCCCTACAACATCCAACTCTTCATCCAGTCATCAGAAGTATAGTAGATTTTAGTGAGTAGTTAAGTCTCTTCTTTGTTTGAAATATGTTCCCATTAGAACTGATTCTTGTCCCTACTTTTCCTCAGTAGAAGGCAAAAGTGATATTTATTAAATACAAATTAATCATAATCTCCTAACTGAAGGAGTTGAAACACAGGGAGAACGTGTGAATGTATAGCTAACAAATGTATACTACCATATGGATTGTGGGCATTTCACTCTCATCAATATCTGGAAAGGGCTAGCAGAACTGCTCATGCATCCTAAGGGGACTAGGGATTGTAATTTCACATTTGTGAACTCTAGTCACTATGTGGACATAGTCACTTGCAGATAATGGGAAGTTGCAACTGCTTTACTAGCTACATTGACTTAGGGTATGATTCTCCCATAGTATCTGTCTGAATGGTTCACTCTGGCAGTGAAACAATGTCACCTATTTGGTCCTTGGGGTGTGCTTCCTTTGTAGCAGTGCCTGTCCTCTGGAATGTTCTTCCTCTGACATTCAAACTGCTCCCCACGTATTGGGATTTTGAAGGGCCTGGCTCTTTGTCCAAGCCTTTGGACAGGATGATTGATGTCTCTTTCTTCCTTTTTGTTCACTCAGCTATCATTGTCCCTTTGATTTGTGTTGTTTCATGTTTTCAGTATTATTCTTTGGGTCTTAAAAAAATGTTTTAACAATTGTAAGCTGCCCAGAGTCAGGGGGTAGCATATAGATTGAATAAATTATCATCATCACTGAGTAACTTTGTTAACATCTGAAATTTAGAGAAACTGCTGTGGGCCACATATCACAATTTAGCTATTTGGAAATTGTACAACTGTAAATGCATCTATTTTATTGTAAAACAAGCACTAAAGCATACCTTTTGTTTTCCCCTCTGATGGGAGAAACACAAACCATTGAGAGAGCAAGTCAATCACTTGCCTAGGAATCTCAGCACAAAACAGACGTGATTATGAACTATTTTTCTAGACCAACCATTATAGGGTTTTTTTAAGGCAGGGTTGGGAGGAACACAGGACCTTTGCAGGCATTAACAGGTGCGTAGGCGCATCAAGTTAAGGTTTCTGGCCTAGATAAAGTTTAGGAATGAACACCCTGTCTGTCTATCTGTCTGTTTGATATCACAGTAGCCATGTTTTGGAAATTATAGTCATTATTAACAATTGAACAACACTTTTTTATAAAAAGAAATATATATTTTTGTATGCTCCCATCCCCTATAAATTTATGGAATTTTAAACCATGACAGTTCTTATACTTACAGAACCTCTTGCTCCTATCTTACTTCAGGACTCTCCGATTTGTGCCAGAAGAATCTAAAGACAAAATTGTTTCTGATGAAGATGTCCTTCAAACATTATTGAAAACATTTAGATCTTTATTTGTAAATGACTTGAACAGACAAATGTTCCTTTTGAATGTAATTCCAGAAATTAAATCAAAATATCCAGAAATACATTCAGTGCAATCTAAAACAATATCCAAAGCAATATACAATGATCAAGAACGTCAGAGAGCCCTTAATCCAGAAGAAGTTTTGTTCAGTACATTAGGATTCAGCATTATTCGACAACCCAGTTCACTGAAGTCAGCTGGAATAGGAGTTTTTGTAGCAAAAGGGTTTGTTCCAGAAGGAACTGTCGTATCAATGTATCCTGGTATGGAAATATTATTTTTCATATAAGTTCATATACAAACAGCATTACATTTGATTCATCAGGTGGTGAGCAGATATAACTTAAGGTTTAATCCTTGACTTAATATTTATATGTGGAGGACACTTTAGAAGGATGGGTAGGTGGATGGATGGATAGGTAGGTGGGTGGATGGATGGATGATTAATGGTTTCATATCTTAACAAAGCAACCCAGCTGTTTGCAAGCCAGGAACTCAACACTTTTTGAATTGAGTCCTGGATTCCGGCCTCCAAATCCTGTCCACTAGGTTGTGATGGATCCATTTTCCTCAGTATCATCAACACTGACTTAAGACCTTTGGAGCTGGCAAAATTTGAACTAGGATCTAATATGTATAAAAGCTCCCTAAACAACAGCTCTTCTCCTTGATATGAAATAATGGTCCGATACCTTTATTTAGTTTTCTGGGCATTACTAACTTGAAGTAAGTGAAAACTGTTATGTTTTGTAGCTCTTTGTTAACAGATGCCCTGCAAACTAATCAACATCCCTTGCTTAAGTATTTCCCAATTGTTTTTCAAAACAGTTTGATTCTGTTTTCTAGGATTGCCAATACTATTGACAAGGGCCAAATTTTCTATGATATGTACTTTTTTTAAATAGCACACTTTTTTCCTGTTATTATACAGCCATTACCAGCTCAGTAGTCCTGGGGGAGGGGGGGGAGAAATGGCATCTATCACTCTTTCATATTGATATTACTATTAACATCACTACAATACTAATCAGTATTATAAATTAGTAAAATAAAACCAGTGTAACATGGTAGATATAGGTAGTCCTCAACTTATGACCACAATTGAATGCCATTTTTCCCTATTTTATGATCTTTTGCCACTGTTATTAAATGAATCACTACAGCTGTTAAGTTAGTAACATGGTTGTTAAGTGAATCTAGCTTCCCCACTGACTTTGCTTGTAGAAGGTTGCAAAAGGAGACTGCAACTTTCATAAATATGAGCCAGTTGCCAAGCATCCAGATTTTAAGCACATGACTTTGCTTGTCAGAAGGTCAAAAAAGGGTGGGGATGCTGCAATGGTCATAAGTGTGAAAAACAATCATAAGTCACTTTTTTCAGTACCATTGCAACTTTGAATAGTCACTAAACAAACTGTTGTAAGTTGAGGACTACCTGTACACACAATACTCAGATTTCAACTTCAGGAACCTGTGTTCAAATTCTCATTCAACCATTTCTTGAACTGTTGTTACTATTCAGCCTACTGTGTCTCACGAATCATATACAAAACCCCTTGGAAATAAGTGTGATTCAGCAGTTGTAATAAAGTAAAATGGTATTTTGCTCTGTTGAAGAATAACTATATATAATTCTTTACATATATATATATATATACACTTAAGGATCTAAAATAACTGCTTTTTTAAAAAACAGGCACGATCTATGAAAATCACGAACCCATATTTTTTCAATCCATTGGCAATCCATTTATATTTAGGTGTATTGATGGTGTACTTATTGATGGAAATAATAGGGGAATCTCAAAGGCTATATACAGGTAAGGCATGAAAGCATTAAGTAAATATTGATATAAATAAAGAGCAATTGATAATTATTCCTAATGTTTATGCCATATAAAACTTCACCTTATCTAAGAGTATAATCAAGAGGTCTCAAGCAAATTTGTGTGAATTTTGAGAGATGGTTGAGCTTGTGTGTCCGGAGATCTGCCAGAACTATCCACCAATCAGATTTTTTTTTCAGGTGTGAGGAGAGTCATACAATTTCATTTATTACTGTATGTCTTTATAAAGGAGAGGGTCATCTTTGAAGGGCTGCTTCACTTGAATCTTCATTAAAGCGGAGTGTCCTTTCAAAATGTTAGGCTTCCCTAGTAGTTAGTATTTTCTTTTCCAGCCACACAGTTCCTGAATTCAATGCAAACAACACTCACCAACCAACAGGTTTTGACCTCCTTTCATGGATGCTCCTTATTGGAAATAAGTATTCTATGTAATAGAGGAAATGGAGCTATACTTTAGATATGGCCTCATCAATATATATTTTAGTAATAATTTGCTCTTGAAGGATGCATTTTGGATAGATTATTGGTATTGGATAAATAGCCAACCTTTGAAACTCAACCACAGTTCTGTCATCCTGACACTCCTCAAATATGAATTGTTTCTATTGTCTTTCCTCTGAAACTGTAGTAGAAAAGCATTAGTATTACCTTGCCAAAAATATAGAATCTTACTATAATTATTTTTACATGGGTTAATCAGTAGACTCTCCTAAGTCCTGCTGTGCTATCTCATCACAGCAGAAGAATGTTAATAGAAGGATAAGCAAAGAATGGCAGTAGTGTATATCAAAAGTATACAGGATCCCATCAGGATCATCCAGGGCTTGAAGGTCACCAATCTGCCCAGTTATAGCAAGTAGGCATCTATATTAGGCAGCAGCAATGTAGGAAGATGCCGGAGGTAGATGGTCACTATAGTGGCAATGACAAAGGCATCAGCATGGGAAAAGATAATGATAAACCATTCCTGACTTTACTAAGAAAGGTAGTCTTGATACAAAAGGTAAAATAATTAATAATATAGGGCTTGATGATGGACCAGTTCAGATAGTACTTAATATGCTACTGAGGAATTGCTGAGGATTTTCAGAGTACAAACTGTATGTATGAAATAACTAAATTAAAGCCTTTGGGATATCTAGTTGTTGATTTTGCCTTGCAGAAAAAGAAAATTCAAATCCGCAAATTAGAGTTGAAACAAAAAAGCTTTCAACCGTTGAAAATTGAAATGAATATACTATACTACATACTGGCAGCTAGGAAACACTGAATTGAGATGGATTAGAATTGGAGACTTTCAATCAGAAGATCAATTTGTTTTCTACTCAGACATGAAAAACAAGGAATGACATTAGGTTACATAGCTAAGAAAGATTTATTAAAGACAATACCAGGCTATTATGCAACCAACAACTGATTAATATTAATTAGAGAATCTTATGGTATGGCATTGTCTAAATTTATTTATTTATTTATAAATAAAATTTATAATTTTTATTGGTCACTCATCTTACCTTGGGTAACTCAGGGCAGCTTATAATCATAAGTNATAAGTTTATGATTTATGCTTCAACCATTGATGCATTGATGAATTTGACAATCAAGTATAAGTTGAAATCGACAGAACATGCTAGCAAGATGTGCTGCTTGTGACTGGAAACTACAATGCCAATGTTGGAAAGATTTAAGGCACAAATGATCAGGCTCAAATTATCATACTGTGGACACATTATACAAAGACTTAACTCTGTGGAGAAGATTGTAATGCGGGGAAAGGTGGAAGGAAAGAATTAAGAGAAGAGGATGACCAGCAGCCAGATGGATGGACTTGGTTACAGGGGTGATAGGTGCATTGTTGTAAGGACTAGAAAACCAGGTTGGGAACAGATCATCTTGGAGAAGATCTATGTGGTCACTAAGTTGGTACTGACTTGATGACACATAATCAAGCAATCAATAATCAGTAGGGTTTGATAAAGTGATCTATGTTATTTGTATGTGTCTTGTTAAGTGTTTCAACATTTAAGCAAACAAATAAAGCACCTATTTCTTGATGGTGCAGTTTCTGGCCAAGACCATTGCTAATAGGTAGTTGGTGGGTAAAATGCTATTTGTATTGATTTCTACAGAATATACTAAAATTACAGAATGACAGGAGCTCTTATACAGTAGTTTATTTTCTTTCCTTTTTGGTGGCAAAGGATCATAGTGGCAGTTCAGAGTACTAACTGAATGCAGTTTCTTGCACTCTCTTTATCTGAAGGACAGGCTGATTGACACATGCTGTGTTTGGCCTGTACTCAGCATTTTGAGGCCAGCAAAAAAGATAGTTGCAATTGGCTTTAATACATGTTTTGAGGATCTGAGGAATAAAAGCAATGGTGGCAGAGAAGTAGTCTGAGCTACTTTACGTGTAAGATCATGTTTTAAATTGGTGTTCAGTTTTCTGCTTATCAGACCTCTGATATAGTCTTTGGTGTTAAGGACATTTAAAATTTTGAGAGCCTGCTGTATTTGCTCTGCAGAACTAGTCAATTTATAAAATAGATGCAAAATCTATACAATAAAGCATAGTAGCTAATTTCCTCTAGGCCAGTGGTTCTCAACCTTTTTAATGCCGTGACCCCAACCGGTCGTAAGTCGAGGACTAAACTGGTCATAAGTCGAGGACTAAACCGGTCATAAGTCGAGGACTACCCAACCGGTCGTAGGTTGAGGACTTTCCCTGCCCGAGAGCGCCACGCATGCGTGGTTCCACCCCCTGCGCCGGCCGAGGCGTAGCTGGCAAGTGGCAGAGACGGAGCAGGCCGACCACCAGCTGGCCCAGCCCAAGGGAGGTAAGGCACCCACCGGAAAAGGGGGAAAAAATGGCGGACAAAAAAAATGGCGGACAGCCTTGCTTGGCGACCCCGTGAAATGGTCGATCGACTCCAAATGGGGTCCCGACCCACAGGTTGAGAACCACTGCTCTAGGCTACCCGGATGGTCTCTCTGATTTTTTCCTGAGTAACTCATCTTTCTAAACAAAATACTAAACTGTGCTCACTTTCCATGTTTTATTTTCCAATACTACTAGGGAGTTTATTATGGGGGCTCAGAGATATTCTTGAACCAATAGGGATTCTAATGTCTCAGCATGCAGATTAACAGAATTACAAATTCTCATTGTTTTAATTTAAAAGAATCTTTAAAAAGTCATTACTATAGTTTGCAAAAACAGATATTTAGCTCCACCATTGAACAGGATATAGGGCTGTTGAGTACAGTAACTCAGGTCTAGCAAGAGAATGCAATTTGTAACTGCCCAAGAAGCAATCAAAATAGAATGTTGTGGCTAATGTTATAATATCATTTAGGTCATGCAGCAAAAGAGATCAAATTGGTCCTTTAAAAATGTGTGATGCCTTTTGGCTTACAACTGCTATGCAAAATCCGTTGGCTGTGGGACAATATGTTAATAATTGTTCAATAGGTAAGACCATTTTTTTTCCTTTGGTTAGATTTTAAAAATTGAAGTTGCTATGCATGTTGTCAGTCTGCCTAAATATTAATTCGTCAGTGGCTTTATAATTATAATTTCTGCAAATAGTGGATGTTTATTCTACATCAGAGAATAGTCTGTAGGTTTTATTTATATTCTGCTTTTATTATTTTTAAACAACTCAAGACAGTGAACATATCTACTGCTCCTTCCTCTTCCTGTTTTCTCCACAATAACAACCCAGTGAGGTGTGTTGGACTGAGAGAGAGTGACTAGCTCAAAACCACCCAGCTGACTTTCATGGCTAAGATGGGGATTAGAGGTCACGGTTTCCTGATTTCTATCTTGATGCCTTATCCACTAGAACAAACTGGCTATAGTATGTTCATAGAAGGTGTCAAGCACAAAAAATCAGGAGTCCAGGCAGTTCAAATGAATACATAGGTTTATTGTATGCTAAAGCTCCCTACAAAAATCTGAACTTCTAGTGGTCAAAGCAAATTAGGTGTAGAAAAGAGTCAAGAGAATTCAAGGTGGGCTGGACTTTGACCTCTTTTGGGCACAAAGGGACTCAAGACTTATTATGCATTTGACCCTTCCTTCGGGCTCAGCTTGCTCATTTCCTGCAGAAGAGCTTAGATAGCAAAGGGATTTTTTTACTTGAATAAATTCAGACATATATTAATGTACAGGCATCTTTTTTCATTTAAGATATTTCTCTTTTTTCCATCAGAAAAAGAAGCAAATGTTTGCTATCAGGAACTGAACATACCTAAATGTTTTCCTATAGAATTTAAACAGTATCTTCCAAACATAAAGTACGGCCATGAAATAGAAAGGTGAGAAATTTGTATTTTTGAATATTTCTGGAATAATTTAAATAGTTAAGTATTCTCAAATATTTGAAGTAGGATAAATCAGGATTAGAACAGAGGAAAAATTGCTTGTGTTGTTAAAAATATCAATGCACAATTGAGACCAACTTCTTTTCCTGCAATATTCAATTTGCAGGTCCTTGAGATGTGTGGTTTTGGTAGCCCTCCGAGACATTGGCCCAGGAGAAGAACTTTTTTCAAACTATTACACAGTTATTTCTTGATGGTCAACTATGGACTTTTACAGTATTTAAACCAAATGTGGTATCCTTTAACAAAGAATGATTGAAGATACATTTTGGTACAAAAGTTTTATTGCGAGTTATGCCTTCAACTATATATTTACTAAGTCAAACTTGTTGTGTTTTTTAAATAGCAATAGCCTATCTAAAACCTTTAAACTATCTGAAATTTAAACTTTGCGGATTATTATGGGACATAACTTATTTGGAAAATGCTTGCTACACAAACACCAGAATTGAAATAAACAAATAAACAAAGAGTTCCCCAGTGTACCTGGGTCCAGCATAGAGACTTCAAGTTATTCATTGTCTCCCTCTGTTGTTCTTTAAATGTATTGGATTTAATACACTCATATTTTGGATTTTGAATGGCTTTATCATTTCTTTTACTATTGTTAAAAGAATTTTGTCCATTTAGTTAACTTAAAAAATATATAAACCAAAGAAGTGCTTATACTTTAGTTATTATACATTTTATAGACAATATGTAATATATATATGGTAATATACATGTCAGGTTACTACCTTTTTATGAAGAACTAGCTGTACCAGGCCACGCGTTGCTGTGGCTCAGTCTGGTTAAATTTACGTCCAACAGATGGCGCTATTTTTTAAAAAAAGCATGTTTTTACCTGTCACAGGTGTGACATCTATATAATAGTAGGTATATAAAAACATGCGTGTATTCGAATGCAACGTTGTGTCAAAATTTCAAAGCAATCGGTGAAGAACTTTAGGAGATTTAAGATTTTGAACAAACGAACATTTACATTTTTATTTATATAGATTATGTTATGTCTGACACTCAAAAAGAAATAACAAATCCATGTGCAGGCTGCACTTGCAAGTCTTTAAAAACAGGAACTCTTGCCCCACCCATCCTCAGTCTAATATCTGCAGCAACTAATTATAGTTGAATCCTTATTTTCATCAACACTTCTTGGAATTCTGTATGGAAAAGGTTTAGATGAGTTTTATTTGCTTTCAAATAAATGAGTTTTGAGATTGATTTTGATACATTAATTCCATTAAAAAGAAATAGAAATAAATATGTTAAAAGTAGATATGCTTGTGTCCGTTTTTAACTATTTTTAAAGCTATGGAATTTAGGTAGATTTCTGAGAACTTTTTTCCAGTGTAACAAATACTACATTAATACCTCCCTAGTAATGAATTAATATTGTTGATAGCTGTTGATATATCTAGATATATTTTCTGTAGAATGTTTTTGATAGAGTAATACCTATCACACATTTACCAAATTGCATTGCAAATGCATCATTATAGACTATGATTTTGAAGTTTCATAACTCAAAAATAAATTGCTTAGTGCATATATATGTGAAGTCACTTCAATATATTTAGATTATAATCTTATTAGATTTTTTCTTGATGTTATTCCTATTAAAGGTAATGAAGCTTACTTCTTAGCCGATACACAAGAACACCCAATATATTTGTTCAGCTTTTTTTAAAAAAAATCATGTATATAATAGTATAAGACAGGAATTTATCACGTTTTGGGGGTTCAGATATATGATTACATCCCATTTACTGTTTTTAATAATATTCCTTCCATCACATTAGAAATTACAATTCAGTGGACACTTTTAGAGAATCTATAGAGACTATAGCTTGTCAAACATATCTATGCCATGCAAAGAAAAAAAAGTGGAATGTTTATGTGCTGACTGCACTGGACGCTTCCCCAGATACCTCTCCAGATGTCAGTTCGGAGGCGGATGGTCAATGGCTTCAAGCAGCATTCTGAAAGGGATTTGGCTGAAGCACAGCTGCAGCTGGTCAGTGATGAAGAAGAGGAACTGCCTTTTGCACCTGATCCAAGAACAGGTAGGGCAGAGAAAAGGCAGGAGCAGATAAGGCAGCCACACCACTCTTGATGGGAAGCACCATAAACTGGCTATTTAGCACAGCAGACAGACGGAGGCAATGTTGGAATATGTTTCCTTGCTGCGTGTTCTTGCCTTGAACTTCGGATGTCTCTTCAGCTGTTGCCTTTGCCTGTGGATTTGTCTTTGTCTTGGAACTTACTTTTTGCCTAGTGATCTGGACTTGCCTTGAGGATGAGTGTTGGCTTCATTTGAGTAGCCTGTGAAACTCATTAGGGTTGAACTGGAGCCAGCACAGGGAATTGCTGGGGAATACAATTCAGTCTCGGAAGCCTTAATAAAGACTCCTTATACCCATGGTGTGTGTGTGTGTGTGTGTATGCGTGAGTGGAACAGCACAATTTACGGGGTGCTACTCCTATTCTGAAATTTCATTGCAGCAAATTAAGCTTTGGGCAGGTAGTGTTGCAACTTATTAGTAGTTATGAATGCTTTAACTTCTTAAGATGCTGTACTTAACAAAAAGCCCCCACAAAGTTACCAAACTGGTCTCGAGGATTATCATGTTTATAACATTGTAAGAGATATAACATGGCTCTACTGGCATGCCTAACTGCTATGGCACAGAAAGTTCCTCTGTAAAATGCGATAAAATAAAAATGTAAGCAGCATAATAGAACCATCTTGATCAATAAGGAATGTTCCTTTCTGTATGGAGATCTGTTGGAATACTGTTTTCAATTTCTTCTCGACAACAGGTCATATTGATCCTTTTTGCAGGTGGCACATTCTTTTTCCCATATTCTTTTCAACAGTAATAATATAGATTTTGTCATTCAGTTTCCATTTCTTGTCAGTTGCAAATGGAATATTTGGTAACTCATTTTAAAATCTTCATCTGTCCAAGCATACTAAAGGAACAAATAATATTGCAGAAGGAGGAAGACTTTCATAGGAGAAAAAAGGTTTCCAGATATTTATTTCTGGAACTGTACACCAGGTATTAAAGTACAACAAATACAAAATAATGTTAAAAAAAATCAGTGTTTATGTACAAATATTAAAACCAATGTGACAATAGCATCAGATATTAAAACTGGTTGCGATTGTCACTAATTTATGCACAGGGTGAAGCAAGTTGAACCTAGTAGTGGACATGACTGATTTCTTAAGAGGTGGACTGCAATCCTCAACTGCCCTGAAGCAATAACTAGAATACTCCACCCCCATGGAAATCATAATTATTATTTGCACATTTACTTTCCCATTTATAGACACTGTGCTTGTAACACTGGGCAGTCTTCTAGTGGTTAGGCTATCCACTAATTTACATTCAAAGAGTTTGTTTCAATTAAATAGTATCACTAATGCACTACTGGATGTGAACTTAACATGGATCTGATTATTGGTTTACAAAGAAAAGCTGCACAAAAATCTAACAGTACAGAGTTCAATACTTCAGAGAATATAATGCAGTCTGTAAGATTGGTCTGTCTATATAAAGAAAAATAAACACTTAAAAAGCTATCAGTGAGTGGATGCAATGGCTAACAAAAGTTGAAGTATTGCTCTATTGCAGCACCAGTTGCACATCCAAGTGAATCAAATGTGCTTTTGGAGTTCCTGTAAGCGATACCTCTACAAACTGCAGATGCCCATCATGGATTTTTGGTTTATACAAATGGATTGAGAGTAGGGGAGAACAGAGAATATACTTAGCAATGAACAAAGAAGTCATCACGGTTTGTTAGAAGAATTGTGCTTTACCTAGAATGAATCAACCCAATGTAGTTTTCACATGGCTGCAATTTAGCCAGCTTCCTTCTGATTCAAACGCAATTCTTTTAATAAACAGTAACAATTTCTCCAGTAAAATGTTTAAAATAGAGAGAAACAGTCCAGCTTTTAAAAGAAAAATTCAATAAATAGCTATTTTACATGAATAAAGTCATAGTGGTACAAATTTATGAATGTCACATCAAGCATGCACAAAATGTTACTATACACAGAAGTAGTCAGAAAATATTGAAATAGATATCTAAAAAGATATGCAGAATGTACATATTTACATAATCTTGCAAATTATTGCCTCATTTTAACAAGGAATTAAAAGTAAACATTACCAGCTAGCTAGCCAATAGGCTGAATTAGATCAGCAATTAAAAATCTATTAAAACTAGCCAGAATTCATTGTTCTCTCATACCATTTTTAGAATTTTGGTCAAAAGTCTTTATTAAATAACTAAAGTGTCCATTTAACTTGCTGACAATCAAAACTTTAGACGAGAAACTAGACTGTCTCGGTCTTCATTAAGACCCCAGCAATGCATAGATAAACTGAACATAGTACTGCATCAGCTGATGAGAATGGGTGTGTTCTTTTAAGTGCAACTGGTATCAGCATTCATACATTTTATGTGATGATTTTTATACACACCAGCCACTGGAAAAACCCATAAACATGAATGTATAACAAAAGGAAAAGTATGGCCAGTATTTTACAAAATTAAATAAGATGTGTTGATTCAAACAGGAAAAAACCCCACAAGATACAGCATTCAGCACAAATTACAGCAACAGGAAGCTGACAATTTGACTGAAAGTATGACCCCGGGCCAAGGCTACCCATTGTTGACCGTGTACTGTATTAGACTGACGAGTTTCAGATGTACACTTTACAACAGATCACCATTAACATATATATGTGGTAATTAAATTCCTAGAATGGTTAAAAATGTGCTATTTGAGAAACTCAAAACTTCTGTTAATTTCATAGTGACTCCCAGCACTCTGCTGTTGTTCAAACTCAAGATGCTAATACAGGTTGTAGAAATGTAAAATACACTCCTTTTGAATTATTAACTAAGGTGTCTTTTTTGATATATAACCATGAAGCAATTTACTATCAATACTGAAAAAAATACCTTAAAATCGCTTTTAACAAAATTAAATATATATAAGTGTCAGTGTAAAATTGGCAAGTTTTATAATTGATAACCAAAGTTTTGGTGAACTTTCACAAATCCTTCAACACAGAACAATCTTGTCAAAGATTTCTCTCTGGAATATTAATGTACTTAAGTCTGAATAAATCCAGGAATTAAACTACACTAATGGCTGAAAATGATTCAAAGATTCATTGCATCATCACCATCTATTAATCTAGAATTTTTCATGCTATTTTGAATTGCATGTTCTGAAGTAAAGACAACCCCAAGATGTAATTCATTATTGGAGTGAGCAAATTGTATCATTCTTAGTGGCTTTAAGCAATGTTAGATAATACTTGATGTTTTCAAATTCTATTCCTTAGAAATATAGATATCCCCCACCCCCGTTCCAATAACACACATTTTTTCAGCCAATACGTTAAAGTACACAAAACCTTTGGACAGTATAACTATTTTTGTGTAAGGTAGCCATGGCCTGTAATTTTATAAGAGCATCTAAGGTTGTCCTTAGACTTTGCTCTGTCTTTTGTGCTAATATCCACCAAGATGAATCTGTTGTTTTGTAAACTGAAGTGCTCTGGTTTAATATCAGATGACAGAAGCTTCCATTTAATAATATCCTTTTTGTCGTTGTGCAGTTTAAATTAAAGAAATGTTTCCCTGCTTTTGATTTTTTTTTTAAATGCTACATTAAGCAAGGATCAGAACTGGTACCTGTAAACAAACATTATTCCACTGCATCCATTAGGACAGAAGCAACCTAGAACAAAAACCCACTCTATTAAGTTCAGAACTTCTGTGCTGGTTTTGAGACAGCAGTCTCTCTACAGGTTTAAAAAGAAAGGAAGCAGAGCTTAAAGCTGTACCACATAGTTCTCTTAGTCCCGAACTCTGCTAGATATTATATGAAGTTTCCACATTTATGGATTGGAAAAAAGTGAAATTATTCTTGATAAATCAAGATATAGTTCTGTACATAAAGACATCACTGATGTCATATAGTTCAAACTTCCAGTGAAAGACTAAGCAAACCTGATCAATTCATCAAGTTTACCACAAACTGCCAACAGTGTTCACTGTATTTAATTTGCTGCTTGAATTCATTCTGAATGGAGGGCAGTGTGCTGGTGTAACGCATGGGCACTGATAAAGCCATTTGTCTCATTTGCAGATAGACTGCTGAAGTCAGCTACCGAGACTGCCATTTTGGCACTGGTAATATGATGTGTATGATTCTCAAAATCCACAGCCAAGTTGTTCACTGAAACTTCATTCATGAAGGATTCTGGGACAGCAATTCCCATTTTCAATCTCTTGGCAGGCCTTTCAGATTCTTCACCGCACATGTTCATGGTGTTTAATTCAGAATGATAAAATCCAGTCTCAAATAAATTAAAACAATCACTTTCACCGTTACTAGGCAAGTTAAGCAAATCTTCTGTTACGACAGGCACATGATTAACTGCTGTTCGAGGCAAACTGTCCAGAGGTGGGAAGACGTCTTCTGAGTTCACATCTGTAGAATGGCAGACTGTAGCTACGCTATTGGTCAGTGCTAGAAGACAGAAAAAGATGTTATACAAGATGTAACCATTTCCCCCTGACCTATAGTCATACTAAGCTCTTCTAATTTACCTTTTAATTTACCTGTCAAATCATTGGCAGTGATTGAATTCAGGATGCTTAGTTGTTGATCAGGAATGGGCTCTAGTCTATTATTTGACATTATAGCTGAAGAAACTGCACCACCTAAAGCTTCTGCTTCATCTACCAACCGATCCATGTAGTCCCTGCAAGAAAATGATCATAGAGAGGTTATTTAACAAATTCCATTTGGAAAGTATAATGATGAACTACTATTAATTGTGGGAAATTCTAAAAGAGATATTAAGCACAAATGTTCTTCCAAGGTCTTTCAACTTACGTGACTCCAGGATGGTGGTTGTACCTCTTTTTTCCAAATCTTGTTTGTTGAGCAAAGTAATCATATCGTTCAGATTTCTTCCACATGTAATAAAATGCTACACATTCAGCAACTGTCCTGGTTCTCACCTAGAGACAGAAAGAATTAGTCTTAATACTTGTGGTAAATTCTTATAGGAAAGAAGTACAAATGATAAAATGCTTGGCAAATTGTCAATACTTGAAAGGCTATGAATTACTGGTTTGATTCCAGGTTAACAGTATGATACCTCTGCAAATAACACATCAGCTGTTAGCAGAAGCAGAGAATGAATGTACTGCAGGTGGTCCTCAACCTATGACCATTTGTTCAGCAGCTGTTCAAAATTCAACAACAGTGTTGGAACAAAAGGACTTATAACAGTGTAGCACACTCCTGATTTCATGTGCAGTATGCATGGGCCTTCCGCAATGCACCCCATGCTCCTTACCTTAGACTCTACCAACTTAAGACTCACAAGGTCACTTAACAACTGCAACTGGGAGAGCCAGGGTTGCAGTTGTTGTGCAGAGCAATCATATGATGTGTCACCTAATGACTGCTTTCTCAAGAACTGAGATTTTGATCTCAATTGTGATCATAAATTGAGGACTACCTGTAACTTAAAATGGTGGTTTTCTGTGCAAGTATTTTAAATTTGTTACAGCATGTTCTAATACAGTTTTACATGTTCTAATACAATGCGTTACTTCATTTTCTTCTTTATATGATGTTATATACTGACCTTTTGTGGATGCTCAAAAGGTCAATATATTATGTCATATAAAGAAGAAAAGAATAAAGATATTCAATGAACCATATTTAAAACTATGAAGTTTTATTAAGAAAAGTGTTTTTAAGAGGGAGGGAGAGGAAGAGGGAGGGAGGGAGGGAGGGAGGGAGGGAGGGAGAGAGAGAGAGAGAGAGAGAGAGAGAGAGAGAGAGAGAGAGAGAGAGAGAGAGAGAGAGAGAGAGAGAGAGAGAGAGAGAGAGAGAGAGAGAGAGAGAGAATGAATTATCTTTATGTAGGTAACATGGGGAAGAGCATCCAATTCCAAGGAACTCTACATTAGTACTCCAGGGATTCAAACTCTGCCCCACCATGACCTGCAACTGGAACTGCTCATCTAGTTAGGAATGAAATGACCACAGAATAGTACTCTTAATTCCCAACCCTTGGAGACAGTCCAGAAGAATACAATAGCAAAAGGATTGAATGTTACCAGAATCTAACTGGATCAATAGTCTTCCATGACAAAGGTAATTACAAGAGCAACCAATGCCAGTTCTGCCCCAAGTTCAAACTTAATACTGACAGAAAAAGATCCAGATAATCCATTTCCTCTAAGAACCCTCTATGTTTGATTTGCCAAAACCTTTTCAACAACTCTCTAAAAAGGGAGGGTTGGAAATATAACAAAATTTATCAAACAATGATGGATCCAAGAAAGAACCCCAGACTATAACAAAGGACATCACTTAACACAGTGGAATGTACCCAACTGATGACCTACCCAGACTGGATGTAAGTGACTATAGTCACAAACAAATAAAGAAGCCCTCCAATATGCCTGAAGGCATTTGCCTATCTATCCTCAAAGGGTTGCTGTTATTCAGTATGGACCACCAAGCAGGAGTCTGTAGCTGTAAAAATCACAGAAAAGAACTGACACTTCCTCGCTACTATCACCATCACGTGGGCTTTGGGGCATTTTGTTTCTGGGCTTACACTATTGTTGCTCTAAAGCAGGGGTGTCAAACTCAATTTCATTGAGGGCCGCATCAGCATTACAGTTGCCCTCGGGCCGGGTGGGTGCGGCCTACTGGGTGGGCGTGGATGGAGTGGGTGTGGCCTACTGGGTGGGCATGGCCAGCTCTACAACATTCGCGTCAAGGGTGCCTGTGGGAGCCTGGGCAGGAGTGGGACAGATCTGAGGGTCTCTGGCAGAAGGGGGTGCTACCGGGGCAAGCGCCAAGGCATGGTCCATTTCTTCATTCCTCACAAAGGGTGACACCTCCCCAGCATGCACCCAGGGGGCGAAGCCGACACAGCAGGGGCTGGTTCCTCATGTTTCTAGATGGCCTTGTGGAGCTAAGACTGAATGTGTTTCAGCACAGATGGCCACCACAAAATTGTACATTGGCTCCCGGCCGGCCTGGGCCAGGGCCAAGGCAGCAGGGGCCGTTCCCTCACTGTTTCCAGGATGGCTTCGCGGGCCACATGAAACCACTTCGCGGGCCGCATCTGGCCCCCGGCCCTTGTGTTTGACATGTCTGCTCTAAAGGTCTTTTCATTCGCTTATTTTTCCTTTTCTCAGAAAACCAGATAATTTCTTGGTTCAGAGACTGTGCAAAAGTATTCTCATCCAGCACTTGGGCTGCTGACCAAGTGCAAGACTGAACTGTCAAATTACCATGGAAATCCCCCAAAACCTCTGCAAACTCTTTGGATCCATTAGGAGCTTACATGGACAAATCTAATGGATCCACTGCTCTTGCAAAACCCAGAATGTTCACAATCCACAGGTGACAAGGAAGTGATCTAACCATAGCAAAAGACAATTTCATCAATATGATCAATGTTTTTGGAGTTGGTCTATTTATATCATTAATTTTCAAGGTCCTTTTAAAATGGCTATATTTTAAATGATACACTATTCATAATATACTTTCATTTTGTTAATTAGTTCTCCATAATAAAATTATTTTCAAATCAATTTTCAATTGATAATGTAATGTTTAGTAATGAAATAGTAAAATATGCTTATAAGTAGAACAACTAATTAAAATAGTTTAGACAAAGGCATGCTCATTTACTAGATGGGTAATTCACATGCAAATGACCAATGATATACTTGAAAATTATAACCTCTATAAAATTTGTAAATCCCTTGTTTACTCATTTATATCCTACTTTTATCCCCTTCTTTTGTCCTTTTTCTTTCCCTGTTTATATATTTCTCTAATATGTCTAATACATTTTAATTAAAAAAAAACCAAGCAACTGGTTGACAAAAATATGCTGTTTATGTTGTTTTACATATTTTATCCAACTACTCGAATGTTAACAACTTTATCATTTACGAATTATTTCTATACTTGCTCACCTTATTTTTTTGTATAAGATGAAAATCTTTCCCATATATCAGAAGTGCATGTTCAAAGTTTCTACATTCTTCTTCTGTCCAAGCTGTCATATCTTAAGAGGGAGAGTAAGAGAGAAACTAATGAACATTTGATATTTTAATAAATCAGCAAGCATTTGGTCTCAACATTTGAAAAATAAAGAAAACCTTTTCAATAAACATGCCTGGTTCATACGGCAAACTAAACCATAACATGGTTTACTTGATTTTTGCTTACCTTGTGCTTGGAAGGTACTATGATTTGTAAGCTGTAGTTTATATCTTAGGCTGAAGTGTGAACTTAGCCAATAATAGTAAGCCATAAGTGGAAATGGTATTCCATCAATTGCAGCAGGAGTCCAATAGGCAGAGAAGAACACTTACAGCTAATGATGAGGTCATGCACACGTAACTGTATATTTCACACAATTTCATTGTTTCAAGCATTCCTTCTTGTTATCTGACTAGTATTGCAACAGTGATAAAGATTGGTGAATGTTTGTCTATAAAAGTGTAACTGACTCAAGTTATACAGATCAGAACTTCAATCTTATGCAACAGAATCTCCCAATAGACTGAATGCCTTCTTTAGTTATCTAAATATATAGAATATCCCACCTGCTACTGTTGCATCACTGATTGCTTTGCCACAATTTGTTCTGCTACCATGTTTTCCCGAAAATAAGACCTATCCCGAAAATAAGCCCTAGCTTGAAATTCACATGGGTGTCTAATACATCCCCAAAATAAGCCCTAGTTTTGGAGTGCGGCACATGTGTAAAAATCAAGCTAGGGTGGGGGAGGTGGAGCCGCCCCACGTGCCCCACACCTGCTTATCTTAGGACCGCTGCAGCCAGGCCTCCCATGCCCCGACATCTGTTGTACTGCTGCCTGAATTCTTCTGCAGCTGCTTGTGGCCGCACGCCACGTAGCACATTGTGCTGTTGCCGTTACTCATAGCAGGAGGCCCTGTGGCTCGTGTCATTGCTCGCTGCAGGATAGTGCCATGAGTGGCGGCGTGATTGGCGAGATGAGCCACACAACCTCCTGCTGCGAGTGGTGGCAGCGGCGCGATGCGCCACGTGGCATGCAACCGCAGAACTCAGGCAGCACCGCAACAGGTGCCAGGGCGTGGGAGGCCTGGCTGCGGCAGCCCTAAGATAAGCGGGTAAGACATCCCCCGAAAATAAGACCTGGTGCCTCTTTTGGGGGCAAAAAAAAAAAAAAAGACCGGGTCTTATTTTTGGGAAAACACAGTATTACAAAAATTTGAGGAACTATATGGAACAACACAGTCACCACAATCCATGTCTGCACTTTATGATTTAACATTATTTAACATATAAACCCTCTTGATAGAGAACTTACCCTGTGATGTCTTTCCATTTGAACAGTATTTCTCAATAGCTTCCTTTAAATTGTGATTACACTTGAAGAGTTCATAGAGTGCCTAGTAGAGATTGCAATATTTCTTGTTTAACCAGTCAAAAGAAACATACACAACCCAGCAGCTGTAATCTCATGCTTCTGTTACAAGGTTATTCATCCATTTCTAATAAAACATGGTACAGCGTTAACAGATAATAGGCTGGATCAAAACCTCTCCCAACTAAATGCTGTGATCTAGCAGAAAGATCCTACTGGTAAAACATTGTGGAAGAAGCGAGTGAACACTACTTTCTGCGCTGTTTTGGAGGGTCCTTTGAGTCTCCAGAAGAGACTGCCAGAAACTACTAAGAGAAGGTAAAATTGCAAAAAGTTGTCTCCTCCTGCAATCAATGAGATGAACCTCCCATGTAAATGGAGTGAAGGGGAGGGGGGCAGCAAAGGACAAAATATTATTTAGAACACTGAGAGATGCCCCATAGGGAAAAGGTAAACCAATGAACATTGCTTCCCCTTCATCCCTCCTCTGGTCTGAATCTCCTTGGATCTCCATTGTTTCGAAACAACAGCAGCAACAGCAATAACACTTAGACTTATATATCGCTTCATAGCACTTTATAGCACTCTCTAAGCAGTTTACAAAGTCAACATATTGCCCCCAACGATCATCTGGGTAGCAAAAATGAACTAAATCCTTCTATTAACACAGAAGCTTTGACCCTTTATATACGTTGTATATGGAAAATGTTTTAAAGCCATAGAATAGGATGTGATATAGTTATAAAATAATAACTAGCTTAAAAAATAGAAAAATAGAAAAAAGAAAACTTATTTGTTTTGCAAACCTAAGCATAAAAAATAAGTTAGACTGGCAATTGTATAGAAATAAAATTAAAACATACTTGTTCATTGTCCCGGATATGCACTCCATCAGGAATTCTACCAATTATTTTTTCATTTCCCGTTCTTACAGAAGTTTCAAAAAGGTACTCTTTAACTTTATTTTCTGAAATAATGTCAGGTTGCCAAAGTAGCTGGTCCTCATTTTCATATGCTATTAAGAAATATCAAAATATAGATGAGATCAACTGCCTAGTAATCCAGCAATCCCCAGTAATCTGGAAACTAATACATGCAATAAAATATACAATTTATAAGTATCTGTTTTAAAAATAACATTTTATGGCCTACATTCTGGTATGATAAAGATCAAGACTTTTCTCCGGGGATATTTGTTTTCATATCTCTTCGGTGTTCTTAAGGATACACATACTCATTTCCCACAGTGTTTCTGTGGAGCTATATTGTTATACTCCTGCTATATAGTATATGTATGATACCACAAATTATTAAGATGTGTTTTTCAAAAATATCAACTGTAGCATTTTTAAGTTTAATAATAACATAAAATGTTTACTAACATTTTTAAAATATTATTTTAAAATATTATTTTAAAAAACAACCATATATATTTTTCTATGCAAATGTTTAAGCAACTCGTTTTGTTGTAACCTGCATCTTTATTTTATCTTGCAAACTTTCTACTGGCAACTTAATTTTAGATTATTATAATGAATAATTACAAAATACTTAATTGCCAGTAGAAAGTCTGCCACAGGATTATCTAAAATAAGAGAGCAATGCAAACACAAAAAGTTGATTATATAGGAAGAAAAAAAATCTATGTAATTATTTTCCTATTCTGAAGAAAGAACATAGTCAAGTAAGAAACCCTGCTTGTATCTTTTGAAAATTCTAGCATGCATCAAACTGAATACTAAAATAATTGAAGGTATTTTTCTATATCTTGATCAAGTATAAAATAAAATAAACATGTGTGAAAATAATCATTTTTGGAATTTTATTTATTTTATTTATTTGTACCCTGCCTTTATTATTTTTACAAATAACTCAAGGCAGTGAACTCAAAGGTGTTTTTTCAAAAGACAAATGGACTGTTTTTTTCCTTGAGGAAAAAGATCAAGAAGTTTCGCTTCTCATCCAAGAAGCTTCATCGGTTCTGGCAGGATGGGAGTGGTGGTGGTGATTGAAGGGTTAGTTCTCACAGGATTGGGGGTGTTGGTGTTGGAAGGATATTTCTTTGTCCCCATCCCCCATCCATGCAACCTCCCTGAAGGCCTCACTGCCTCTCCAACCATTCACACACCCTCTCCCATTCAACAGCAACTCCAAGCCCTGCTGTGGCACAGCACACCTCCACTGCCACTTGCACACATTCTTCCACCCAGCAATAGCCACCTTTACACCCACCACTTTTGTGCTGCAACTCCCCCACCATTCATACACTTCACACATTTGGCAGTAGTCACCCCCAAGTGCTGCTATGGTTGCATGTCACTTCTGTGGCCACTCGCACACCCCCCCTTCCTTCCCCTGCCCTGCAGTAACTTCCTGCTGGCTTCCCAACTGACTCTGGTTGTTGGAAGCCAGCAGGAAGTTGAGAGGAGACGCTTGCTTAATGTTCTACAATTCTCATTTAACAACAGCAAAGGGGACTGCAGAAATTGTAATTGCTAAGAGAAGCAGCTACGTGGCGTCATGCTTTATAACTGCATCACTTAACAACAGAAATTCCAGTCCCAAATGCTATTTTAACTTGAGAACTGCCTGTAGTCCAATCTATGTGAAAGACAGGGATGTGATTGAAATGCTAATATTTAACCTATGAACAGTCCAGAAAGCCTTTGATTTTAGTCATCTTCAAATACCACCTATGTAACTAAATAAATGGAAGTATTACTGCCTTTTTATTGATAAGAATGTTCAGTCTTCTTTGTAAAGAAGAGCTTTATTCTCATTTATACAATGTTTGCTTATATATATCTAATATTTTAAATTGTGCATTCTCATATATTCCCATTCATCAGAGGTCAAGGAGAGTATGAAACGGGACCGGTGACTGGCTAAAGATATTAAAGTAATAATCATGTCTGAATAAATTAACATTTCAATTATCAGACTTCAGATGCAATAGATAACCCCTGAAAGGATGTAGAAGTCTGTTGCATCCAGACACAGCAGTTAAATTTATCTTAATTTACCACATTTATGGTGATTTATAACTTTTATGTAATGAAATTATACATGACATAAACTAATGCCAATACTGTCATTTGCATCATCTGTGTAATCACATCATTATATAGATGACAACAGGGTGGATTTGATTTAAAGAAAGTCAATTTAAATCACAATTTAAATCACAATTTAAATCACTAGTAAAAAGGCTTGATTTAAATCATAATTTTTAAAGAGCAACTGTCATCTGTGTCCTGCAGCGGCTCCTCCTCTGACCCGCTGTTCACTCACCGACAGTCCCATTCACTTTAATGGGACGGCTGGTGATGCGGCAGTGACACAAGGTGAGGGACGTGGCGGGCAGCAGGTGAGTGGGTGCCCATTAACAGGCGCTGCCATGATGGATCTGAAATGATAGGTGCTCTTTAAATGTAAGGACTCATTCTTGTTGGTAGTTAGAATCTTTAATATTATTATTTGCAAACAAAATGAAGATTTCCTATTTATAATAATAAGCTGTCAGGTTAGTTAAACAGCAATATCAGAACTGATTTTAGGTTAATGGGTTAATCACACATACCATGTTTCCCCGAAAAGTAGACCTACCCCGAAAATAAGACCTACCCTGATTTTGGGGGGGTGGGCCTAATATAAGCCCTACCCCAAAATTAAGCACTAACTGGGACCCTGCCCACTATGTCCCACCTCGCTGCCGCAATGGGGCAGAAGAACGTGTGTCGCACCGCTGCAGCCACAATGAGACAAGGCAGGTGGGAGAGGGAGGTTAGCGTCCCGCACCCGCTTACTTCAGGGCCTCCCAAGCTAGGCCATTCTTGCCCAGTGACCTTCCCGTTCACTCTCCTCCCGAGTTGGACTACCATGCTACGGAGGATGGGCGGGATAGGCCCGGTTCCCCTCCACTGTTTTGGAGCCAGGCAGGAGTGATGGCGAAAAGCTCCGCTGCCACTGTTCGCCACTGGAGGGGCTTTCTTCACGCTTTGCCCCACAGATCACCTGCCCGGCAGCAGCAACCGCCTCCTACTCCACCAACTCTCCTGTAGCTTGCACCATGACCGGGCAGCGCAAGCCTTCCCTGCTGTCTTCCTCCGCCAGCCCTCTGCCGCCGCCACTGGAGATAATGGAGAACGGGGAGGGCAGCGGCTCTGCACAGCGATGCAGACAAGAGCACTTGCTTGCTGCCCTGCATCGCCTCTCGTCTCCCTTCTCTGTTCTGAAAATGGCAGCCCCATTTCCTGCTGCTTCTCCTCCCAGCGCTGCTGTAGAGTTTGGTGTACCACCGCCCATCTCCTCTCTCTTCCCGAAAGCATTTCTTCATTAATCTGTTTTCCAGCTCTGGCACGTTTCTCTCCTGCTGCAGGGAAACGGAGTTTGTGGGACTAAAAAAACTTCAGTCAGACCTTCCAACTTCTCGCGGAAAAAAAAGACCTCGTGAGAAGTTGGAATGTCTGACTGAACTTTTTTTAGGGAGAGTTGGTGGAGGAAAAGGAGGCAACTGTCACCAGGCAGATGAAAGCTCCTCCAGCGGCGCATGGCAGCAGTGGAGCCTTTTGCCATCATTCCCCCCTCGCTCCAAAACAGTGGAGGGGGACCAGGCCTACCCCGCCCATCCTCCATAGCATGGCAGTCTGGCTTGGGAGGAGAATGAAAGGGAAGGTCGCCGAGCAAGGAATGGCCTGTCTGGTGGGGCCCTGAAGTAAGCGAGTGAGGGGAGCGTGGTGCAGCTCTACCCCCTCCCCACCTGCTGGATGGGGCTGTTGGTGCTGCCACCATGAGGTGAGGAAGGTGTCACAAAAAATATAAGACATCCCCCCAAAATAAGACCAGGCCTTACTTTCGAGGAAACACGATAGTTGGAGAACTATTCAAATTCTTTTATTTAATTAAAATAATTAAATAAAAAGAGCCTGGTACAGATGCATTTTTCTTCAAACAATCATACAGTTTGTAGTGTACATAGATTTGCAAAACAATAGGCTAAAAGAATATTCCTTGACTTTGTTTTATGATTTATCTCATTGTTACTCTGAAATTGTGTAAATGCATCAATGCAGTGCATGTTATCTCAGTTTGCAAAGTTTGGATTCATTGAATGAGTTTACCAAAAATGTAAAATGCCTCATGCTACATAACTAAGCTCCATTTCATGCTGAATAAACTAAATTATTAATGTATCTTAAATAGAAAACTATATTTAGATAGATTTTTTATTCCAAAAGCATTTTATTAAAATAAATTTGATAAAAATCAAAAAAATCCGATTTAAATAAGAAAAATCCTTTTTTTAAAAAAAGAATCATCGATTATTATCTACCCTGGATGACAAACACAATGACATCCTTTCACATTTAATAGATATTTGGAAGTAACAGATACCCCTCTCCTCAACAGGCCTGTTAAAATGTGGTCTCATTGTACTTCTTAGCAATTTTTGAATATGTATAGTACTCTGTAGCATACTTCATTTAAACACTCAAAACCAATTCATAAATTAAGTTCAAGATAAGTCAACCAAATATGCTATGCCTCATGATCCTCAACTCAAATATGTAATATCCAAGTGCACAGAATAAGTCTGTTGATGTTTTAATTTTTTTACTATAATTGCTAATATATTTTAAACAATTATTTTCAAATCTAACCATTTAATTAAAAAATACTAATTACCTTTTTCATCATTGCAACTTTTGCCTAAGAAAGGTGGTATTTCAGCTTGGTATTGTGAACCAATCATTATTTCCTGAAAAAAATTAGAACATGTAGCATTATAACCAAACATTTCTCAACATCCAAATCCACAAATATTTTCAGGCTCATACTAGGATCACAACAAAATTCACCTTTAGAAACAATACACTAAAGACAGGTCTCCTATCTTTTAGGTTACAGTTGAAATGGGGAAGTAAACTACTTTCAAAAGCAAATACAAGTTTGGAGATTTGAGGCCAGCAATAAATGTAATTCTAAGACATTTTATACATCTTGATTTCAGTCTTTTCATATGTTAAGTATATAGAACACATACAAAAAACTGTATATTACTACAGAGCCTTTTAAGAATTACCTTTCGCAAATCTTCAGATGAATTACCAGTATCTACTTCCACATCTTCACCATCAGATTCTTTATCGCCATCACAGGTAGTGTTTGCTTTTTACAATAGAAAAGAAATGTTAACAGGCAATTATTTAATAATGTTAATGTAATATTAAAATATAACAAAGTCTCCCTCAAATCGCATTCCAACTTCTGAACATGTTCCCATGTTCAATGTCCATGTCCACAGCTAAGAGCTGTATTTAGTAACTACATATTTGTATCACTCCAATCAGATGACTGTGGATGGTGGAAGCATAGAAGAGGCCCTGTTTGAGCTCAAAACATCTGTTTATATCTTTACACACTTCCAAAATAGCTTGAAAAGCACCAAAACATTTTTAAGGCAGTGAGAAGCCTTTTGGAAATGGAAACATTTTGAAATTGCAAACCCTGCCCTCCCTAACCTTAAACAGTATATGTTTTGTCTTTAGCATATCATTACCTAAAAATAACTAATCACAAACATTCATTCCGGTTACATATCTATCAATCAAGTTATATAGTCACCCAATTTGCAAAATGTAACTCGAGGCAGTAAAAACAAAATCACAGCATCCCAATCACAAATTATTTGGGGCATACCAACATGCACTCCGCCTATCAGAATGAATTCACGTAATATCCTGGCCTTGACGTTCTGGTTAAATAATAGCTTTTATGGCAATCTTACATTTCAAAATTACATTTACTTAAAGAGTTCATCACATTTCCAAAATTTGTTTCTTTGCAGGTACAATTGCTTATTTTTGCCCAAGTCTCGACCGGCAGAACCACATGAGATGAATGGGGTTACATGAGACAATGTGATCTGGGATTGTAGAACCCAAGGAAATGGATAGGCTATACCATCTGCAGACTTCATCCATGTTGTTTTTAATTCCTCTCTGTGACTAAGCAAGATAAGTATGGCTGGACTGGAAAGTGATCAATGTATCCAGAGAGAAGCCGTGATGCTGCCTGCTCTTAAGGAATATGTTGGCCATATTAGACAAATTGTGTCTAACTGTGTCCAATCTTTCTTAAGGATGTTGAGAACATGATATGGACTCAAGTTACAAAAGATCCTAAAGAAAGCTAATTATCTAGTTCTTTTAAACAGGATTCAAGCTCAGTCAGAGGATGGAAATAGCATTGATTGCTTTGTTAGTTGGGTTTCATTGAGATTGGTAAGGGAAATGCAGACCTACTGGCTGCATTCAATATTGCCAAGCATGGTATCTGAGATTTGAAGGCACAATTCTACAGTAATTCCATTTCTGATTGGGCAATTCTAGTCAATAGTTATGAGACAAAGCAACTGAGCCTGTAGTTACCGAGGGTGGAATATCAGAGCTCAATTCTCACCCCCTATGTTTTTTAATATCCATATGAAATGACTCTTTTTGCTTTAGGGTGAGGTATCATTAATACATTAATACTCAAATTATACACTGTTAATCCAGACCATGCAAAATATGCTCTGGGTGTCTTGAACCAGAATATTGAGATTGTAAGAGGCTGAATTTGGAGGAAAAAGCTCAGATGAAACTAAAGAAAAGTTCAATTGATATTCATTTATAAACAGCACTCTTTTCTTGTCACAAAACTATTGGTTGCCATAGATAGGATCATAATTCTCTGAAGGAGAAGTTCTCTCCTTTTGCATAGCTTTACTCTGGCACCATGTTAGAACCCTATCAATGACATTCTTAACTTTATTTTTACAACCACTTAGTACAACAAAATGGAATAAAATAAAATTTTGGAAATGTACCAAGTCCAGCAGAATTTGTTCTTCAAACCAAGATAGATGACTAACAGTCTCACAATTTTAATATAGCTAATTTGGGATACTGATTATATTTCCTTACATCTTAAAGGTCGAGGAAAAAAATCTGTTGTTTCATGTGAAGTAACCGATGGTGTCAAATCATCAGCAGAAGACTGTGTTTCTTCATCATCTCCTGACAAAAGGTCTTTGGCTATTTCCTCCTACAATCAAAAGAATCAGTCACTAGTATCATTTATGTCTTGAAGAATTAACTAATAAAGCCGAGTTCTGATTCAACAAGAATCCAGAGCCGGGAGGGGAGGGAGCAATTCAATCTGATTTTTCACCTCAAGGTGTCATATTGAAATTAATCAAGGCAGGCCATAAGAGCCTAATATGCCTTATCCTTCATTCAAAATCCTCAAACAAACTCTGTCTCTGCATGAAAAAGAGTGAAAAAATATTTGTAATGCTGTTTGATTACAGTAGTGCGCTAATGTACATTAGTGCACTAAATGGACAGGGAGAGATGGACTGGATTCAGTGACTAATATATCTGTTCTCTAATCACGGAATCACTACAATCAGATTACATTGGTTTTCTCAATCTGTGAAGAAAAAACTTGAAAGAGAATTTTAGTTCAACTACTTGCTTATTTTTTTCCTGTCTTTTGTAGAAACTGCAAGAATTTTTATGGTTGTTCTTATCTAACTGGCTGGTTTAAGGACTATACTTTTTATGTAAAATAAAAATATCAGTGAATTAATCTTTTTTCCTACATCTTACATAACAATCAGCTCTGAGCCAACCATTGTCAATTTTTGTCATCACTCTTTTCCTTTGGGCAAAATCTAGTTTTGAGTAAAATATCATATAACTACCTCACTTAGAATCCTTTTCACTGCAAATGTTATTACCTTCTGCTTCAAAACAAAATAAATATGGGTATTTTTATAAAGTTAGAAAGTAAAGCTTAGTTTGAAATCCTTTACTCTAATCCATAATAAATTTGTTATTCTTTATCTCTTTATAGCTATCTAACTTTCTTGTGAATTTCATCCTGTTCTAGTGATATTTTTAAAAAGATATTTTTAAGAAATCATTCAAAACCTTCCGCATTAATTTCTATGAAATACCTGCTTCCAACATATAGAATACTTTAATTTCCCTGCAAATTTTACTCCTCTCTCTCTCTGAATACGTATGTGTCCAGGTAGATGGTAAGTAGGTAGGGTAGGTAGGTGGATAGATGGATAGACAAAAGACAGAGTTTGAATGCATTTATATACATATGCACATTTTTGTTAGCTAATGGACAATTGGAACACCAGTTTCGCAAACAATATTTAAAAACCTGCTTTTTTAAAAAATTGTTGCTTTACAAAAAGAAAAAAAACCTTATACAAAATAGCACCTGATGTAGTAGTCACACTGTATCCTAGTGTAAATTTACATTAAAGCTGTAATATCTTGCTGTGCACTGATAATCTATTTTTTAAAACTCTACAATACTACGGATATGTCCACTCTTTCATTCTGAATTCTGCTATTCTACTTAAAGCTAGGGTTGCTCACATATCCATCCCACTGCTTTCACAGAAATGGCTTCCAAATTAAATATGCCTAGAACTACAACCTGTTGAAATTTAAAGAATAATTTCAGGTTCATAGTCAGGTAATAAAAGAATGTAATCTCTCAATGGAATGAAGTCATGATAATAATAGAACCTAGGAATCGCCTGCATTTTAGGACAACAGCTAAAAGTACTTACTTTATCCAAAGTCATATCTGGAAGTTCATCTGCAAGTTCGCTTGGGGAACTATCTGCGCTGGAACTTGCTATAACAGGAATTGTAGGTTCATAACCATAGAATGCTAGTAAATCTTCTAATGGCATGCTTCTTTCCTGAGTTGTTTTTTTTTTAAATAAAGAGAAAATAAATTGACATTTGTAGAAGATCATATGGTTTTGCACATATGTAATTTAAATAATTAAATAGAAATTATGCTATTGGTAAAAATATATATAAACAATATCTCATTGTTTATTGAAACAGATAATCCCTTTAACAATCTGAACTATTAGTTTACAATCTAGCATGCATAATTAAAATTGAAATATAAATAAAGTATTTTCTTAACAAACAAGAGACCCCAACACAGTGCCACGAAGCAATCTATGTTTTATTACATGCAAATTATATAATAATTACATTTATCTTTGGAACTAATACTTCATTCCAAAAAGAAGTTGCACTAACATTCCGTTCGCTCATTTATATTGCTAATATATATAAATAATAAATTATTTATTGGCCTGCAGTGTGTAAATAGTAGTGGTAATGTAGTGGTGTAAATACTTGCCTCAAAAGTTGTAGAATGCAGCATTCTCAAATGATGTTTAAGAACAAACCTCTAGATGCATTCTTTCTAGGAAAAGAAGTCTTACCTTTTCTAAGTCTTCAATCTCAGAACTGAAATTTTTTCCTTCATCCATCATTTCTTCCTCTTCCAGAGTTCTTTCATCATCATAATCATGTACCAACATTTCAGCTGTAGGGTCAAAGTCATGATCCTCAGAAGACAGAGAGCCAACTAAAAAAAAGACAATGTGAATTTCTTTAGCAAATGGTACTAATATCTTAAATGTTATATTACCAAAATTCAAGAATTAAATGCCCCAAACATGAATGTATCAACCATGGCATGAATTTTAAGTACAGCTGTACATTCTGCAGAGTAAATCTAAGCGAATATTAGATTAATGCTTCTTATTTTAAAACAATTCTATAGGAGTAGTGAAGGGACTTCCCTGGAGCAAACACATTCAACTGACATAATAGAATAATTTCATTATAGCTTTTGTCAAAAGCACTAAAATTGAAATAATCATATTTCCACTTATACTGTACTAGTATTAGCTACACCAGTCCTAACTCCACTGTAGCTATGCAATGCAGCTATAATTTTCCTAGCTACTCGATTTTGATTTCATTAATTACTGAATGTGCTGAAACCGAAATAAGCACAATAGTTTGTATGTGGAAGCTCATAGAATCTGTATCCGGAAAATAGCGCTATTTCAGAATGTTAAAAATAGCCAACTTATCTGAAGAGATAGTTCAAATTCTAAAGCTAACAACTTTTGGAGGAAGGACTAAAGCTATCTAAAAATGTTAGAACTGATTTCCACTGTTTATAGAACCAGTTCAGTGCAAAACACTATTTTTTAGACCTTGAAGTGCTAGGAATTCTGGAAGATATTGCCCCAATGGCTTCAGGATATCCCTTTGGGAAGGTGGTTATACAGTGCTGCTTTGCAGATTTAGGAAAAGATATTTGACAATGAATGGCCATTTTTAAATCATAAATATGGGCAGGTGGAAACACCTAGCTGATTATGACAATAATAAGCATGGTTTATACTTGGATGGTTTATACTTGGATGGGAGACCACCAAGAAAGCTCAAGGCTGTAAGCTAAATAGGAAGGTTGAAAAATATCAGGTAAGAAGCCAATAGCAACCCAATTCTATCCTGTTACCAAGAGTGTAGCATGGATGTCAAACTCAACTCAGGTGAATCTTTATGATTTTTCTTTTTAATAAGCTATAAATTAACAGAATGCCTTCAAATTGTACATTTCCTATTAAATAAAAGTATTTGCACTTGTACATAAAAGATGTATGAAGTAAATCCAATTTTTTTAAAATTGATAAAATTGATGCGATCAATAATGCTTAACTTCAGCTGATTTTGCTCATTTTTTTTTTATTAAATGATTCTTAGAATGAACATTGATCTTAAATAAAATTTATACTGTACTAATGTAAGATGAAAAATCTTAAGTAACAATACATTTAGATCATGATTATAAAGTTAATACAAACCTGTGCCCACCTTTATCAGAGTAAGCCATAATGATTTAATGGAACTTACTCCTAAAAATGTGCATAAAATATTACAGCTGTACAGATAAATTTCAAAGGGATGGGAGTAAACTGGGGTATCATGTGCCACTTCCTCAGTCTGCTAGATGGATGATAACAAGGCAACCCTCAGGCACATGTAGCTGATGGGCCTGATCTACGGAGCTATTTTGGGAAATAAAAAAGCTTTGGATTCAGAGAATCCAAGACTGATTTTAGACAAATGGCCAACATTTGGAACACAGCAACAGATCTATCACATTGTTTTTGTAGGCATACCAAGGGCTGTGCTTACTGTCGTGAGCCATCTTGGGGACCTTATCAGTCCAATCAGGTGGATTTACTTCTGAAAAACATGGTGATCAAGTTAAAAAAAACTGGAATTTTCAACTCATTTCCCATAAAGAAAATCCTACTGAACTGTGGTGAACTTATTTCCAAGTAAACACACATAGTATGCTAAGCAAGTGGAGGGAATCCTACCCATCCAAACCTGCGCCAGACATCAGATTTCTAGTGTACCACTGCACTGTAATTTCATTAGAGAGAAGTTTTAACAATTCTTCTGAAAAATGTATTTGAAGTGCCTTTGAAATTGTTTTATATTTACATATACATGTATTATTAAATGTGTATATTTAATGAAGAATACCTTGATAGCATAGTCCTACTCTTATCTACTCAGAATGTATCCTGAATTCAAAGGGGCTAATTCCAAAATTATACCCAGAAATATTAAGTCAAATTAGTTAACATTTTAAAATATAATGTACTGTCTAACAAGTTGATCAAAGACATGTTATAAGACTGTTCATACATTTACTGTATATGTAAAATATCTGGTATATTTTTAATTTTGATTTTATTATAAGACAAATAAATTACACTTTAATTTCACTGACAAAAGTAACTTTGCTTCTATTTCCATTCATAAAATTACATTTCTATTTAATTTATTAACATCCTGTAAAGAAAGAAATTAACATTATTTTTTAAAACTAAAGAAGCATTAAGATCAATGCTTCACAATGCGACTCTCCTGAATATGTATAGGTACACACACAGCTTATTCTAGCCAGGGATTTTGGGTCCCATTATTGTCAATGAAAGTTACTTTCAAATACATTTACATTTGCTTTTATTTTCCTTTGAAGGAACAACATCTATTAGCTGAGCATCAACCCTGCAACTTTACTCCAAAGAGTTGACAGAACTTCTGGAAGAGGATTGGGGAGGTATATAAAGTTGAAGGACACACAGATTTTTTTGGGCAAATTTCCACTAAGTGAACCAAAAGCTTCTAGTCTAATTTCATTCCCTACTTTTATTGTATTATTTTTCTTTGTACAAATAAAATAGTGCATTGTTACAAGGTCTAAAGCCCACATTAACAACTTTATAGTAAGTCCAATTTACTTCTGCAAATATGGTAATCAAGACTGTGATTTTTAACTCATGTTGCAAAATACAAAGTAATGAAAATGGTTTACTTCCAAGTAAGTATGCTTCATATCATGCTTAATAAATGAGCAGGAGGTCTGCAGATCGCTGAAGCAACAGACAATTTTATCCAACAATATTTTAAATGGAAGCTTCTTGCATATTCAAACATTCCAATAAATGTTTGGAAAATCAAACAGAACAATTTGAAACTGATCACAAGAATTTCTATAGGGCAGAATGCCTCTGCAAAGAGCTTCACACTTTCAATAAGAACCAAACAGTGATTTTAGGATAAAACAACTGAGCATCAACTACAGACAATGAAGGAGGAAGTAATCATTTTAGCATAATCAAGAAAACACATAAAACATCTTTGATAGATGTGCCTGTACCCTGGCCCTCAGCCGTACCCAAAAGCTTCCCACTGCCGGAATCACAGAAGAAGGAACTGAACAGGACAAACCTGGGCTCGAACTCCCAAAGGAAGCCTGGAACAAGCAATGGGAGAGGGAGGAAAAAACAGGTTACAAATAAGCTGGCCAGAGAGACTTGGAAAAAGTGGTCTTATAAAAGGGAAATGTTAAGGCAACCCCTCCTAATTACTCAATCTGTCTCACACACACACTTCCCCATCTTTTTTCCCCCTTTCTCCCTCCAACTTCTTTCTTTCCCCTTCTTCGGCTATTAGCATCCCTTCATTGCTTTCCCCCCCCACCAACCCCCCCCCCACCCCCACCGGTCCTCTCCTCTGGTCCCTCTTCTAGGCTCCCCTTTCCTCCGCCCGAGTTGCCTCTCTCTCTCCAACCTTCCTCTTTTCCAACTCCTCCGTCTCGTCCCCGACGCGAGACCCGGGCCTTGACACCAGTTCCATCCCGGCCGGGCCCGCCCGAGAGGTGACAGGGGCAGCTTAAGAAGGAGCGACCAAAAGATGCGGGCTGCCCGTCGGAGAATCTCACCGCTCCGTCGCCTTTTTCGTCTCCCTCCTCATCTCACCCCAGCCAACCCATCTCCATCCCGGATTCCGACCTCCGCGGAACCGGAGAAAGGAGACCTCTCCGCTCCCGGGACTGTGGGTGGAGACCGGCAGAGCGCTCAGCAGACAGCTAGAGGCGGACGGACCGACTGACGGACGGAGGCAGCCGCGGCCTAGTCGCGCAGGCTGCGCTTCTCCGCTGCAAGTAGCTTGAGCAGCCCCCAGCCGCCCCCCGAGGCCTCCTTGCTGGGGCTCCGACCACCGGGAGGGAGTTATGGGGGTGTCGGAGCGGCCTGAAGGGGCCGCCCCACCGCGGAACTCGCCCAGGAACCGGCCGGACCCCAGCGCCCCTACCCGCTTTCCCCGCTCACCTCCGCCATATTGGGAGCGCTCGGGCTGAGCAGCAGCGATGCGCCAAGTGCCCGGATGGGGCCGCTAAGCCAATGGCAGCCCGACCGGGACTGGGGCTACCGCCGGGGTGGGGAAGGAGCGGGGAAGAAAACGGCCTCTCTGCCTTGCCGGGCGGCGGGCTGAGACGGAGAAAGGGACGCCGCTCCTCCGTTCATCCTCTCGGACACTTCGCCTACGCTGCAGCCCCGAAGGAACGCCGGCGAGAAGAGAAGGGAAGGGGCAGGTAGACAGGCACTCCCCACTCGCAGCCCGGCCACGGGGACGAACCCCTCGCCTCGTTCGCGAAGTTTGATGGGACTTCTCCTACGCCCCGGGATAAAAGAACCACCGCAGCCGGGGAGACAGCGGAACGGGGGGAGGGATCCCCAAGGGACTAGTCCACCTGATCGGGCCGGCACGGTAGTTCGTGCACCGCGCTGAAACGCCTAACCGTGATTTGCTAGTTAATAGCACTTAGTAGCTGCAGTAATAGAGTTGGAAGGAGCCATTTAGGCCGTCGCCTCTAGCCTCCTGGCCACTGTGGGACTCCCCATTACAGGTCCCCGACAGATGCCTGCCTCTAGTTGAGGCGAATATCTCCGGAAAACTGGTTCTTCTACTCCAGTGTTTTCCAAGCATCTCCCGAGTCTACCGGTAACGCGTTCATCCATCCAAGCGTGCTACTAAACAAATCACACCGTGGCCGAGGATGATGCAAGACGCTCAGCCATTAATTCCTGGCTACAGACTTAGAGAAAGAGAGGGTTTGGCCACAGATATCCCTGGGCTCATCAGTCTAACAAGTTTTTAAAAGTTAATTTCCAGCTATACTGTACAATTGCTTAACTGATGGGCGTTTAC